TCATTGCCTTATTTTTTATTTTTTTAAACATTGTGATTTTTTTTCGTGTTTTTTCCCGGATATATATATATTTTTCCCTTGTTCATTATAGTACTTCATACTTCGTCATGACTGAACAGACACCTAAAGTACTCAAGCTTAAGACTTTGTCCCCGCCTTCGTTTCAACTGATGCCTTTCTGGCCCGACAACATCGAAGCCTGGTTTTGCTACGCAGAAGCCGACTTTCACGAGCACGGCGTGATCGACACACGCGCACAATTCCTCGCAGTAGTCAAGGCACTACCGCGCGAATTCAACAGGTACGTAACACCTAGTATGTTTACTAGTGATGTTTCCGATCCTTACGAAATCTTAAAACGCTCGATTCTTAAACGAGGAGACCTAACCGATCGACAAAGGTCAGATCAACTCTTCAACAATATCGACCTGCAACACGGTTCTGCGACAGACATGTTGCAACGGATGAGAGAGGTTATAGGCCCAAGAACTTTCGACGAAGGTCTATTCGAACAACTCTTCTTGGCAAAACTTCCCCAACAGGTGCAAGCAGTTCTGGTCTCGTTTCAGAACAACGCCTTAGACGAACTAGCTGCATCTGCCGACCGCATTTTAGAAATTACGAAACCTACTACCGAGGTATTTTCAGTCGAAGAAAAACCTCAAACGACTCAGAATGATATAAACGACTTATGTCACACACTCACGCGTTATCTTAGTCTTCGTACCGACCGTAAGAGATCGCGCACACCACGTAGAAGCATTTCTCGTAAGCGATCTGTCTCTAGACCACGAGAGACAGATAACCCCGACTGGTGCTGGTATCATAACCAGTATGGAAAGTTTTCCAGAAATTGCAGAAAACCCTGCAATTTTCCCAACACGAAACCGAGTGACTCGAAAAACAACTCGGGAAACTTCCAAGCCGGCAAGCGTTAACGGCAACCGTAGCCGGCGAACAAAGCCGTCTGTTATTCGTCACAGATGTGACAATGAGAGTTCGCTACCTCGTCGACACTGGCTCAGAAGTTAGCGTTCTCTTAGCGAATTCCAACAACCGACTTCACAAATCGGCTTTAAACTTACAGGCGGCAAACGGAAAACCGATCGCTACGTATGGCAAAAGGTACGTTTACGTTAACGTGGGTTTACGTAAACCCATCCACTGGATTTTCGTTGTTGCAGATGTTTCTATGCCAATCATTGGTATGGACCTTGTACAACACCACAATCTGATCATCGACACGCGCAAACGGAGGCTAGTATACGGAAACACTAATTTGTCCGTTTGCGTAACTTCTTTTACTGGTTGCAGAGTATCCCCAGTCACAATTAAACATATGATAGACCCACTCTATCAACCACTACTCGATAAGTACCCTGAGATACAACAAACTCAAACGAAACTACCGTGTGTAACCAGCAATGTTACACTTCACATCACGACTACAGGACCACCTGTATTTTCTAAAGCACGCCGACTAGCTCCTGAAAAGCTAAGGTTAGCGAAAAACGAATTCGATCATGTGATGGACTCAGGAATAATACGACCGTCAAGTAGCCCATATGCATCTCCATTGCACATGGTCCCTAAAAAGGACAGCAACGATTGGCGTCCAACTGGTGACTATCGGCGATTGAACGCGAAAACCATTCCCGATCGTTACCCGTTGCCTCACATTCACGATTTGACAGCTACCTTGAAAGGTACAACTGTCTTTTCGAAAATCGACTTGGTTAAAGCGTATAACCAAATCCCTATGGCTACTGACGACATACCGAAAACGGCTATCATAACTCCCTTCGGACTCTATGAATTTTTGCGAATGCCTTTCGGTCTAAGGAATGCTGCTCAAACATTCCAAAGATTCATAGACGACGTTTTTCGAGGTCTCAACTTCGTACACGCGTATGTTGACGACTGTCTAATCGCAAGTCCGGACAGAGAAACACATCTCAAGCATCTGGATCTTGTTTTCGAAGGACTTCAAAAACATGGCATAACTGTAAACGTTCAGAAATGCCAATTCGGAACCAACTCGTTAGACTTCCTAGGACACACTATCGATGCTCAAGGCATTCGACCTCTTAGGACCAAAGTGGCGGCCATTCTGGATTACCCAGAACCGACCACCGTCAAGCAATTGCGCACGTTTAACGGCCTGGTAAGTTTCTATAGACGTTTCATACCCAAATGCGCATCACTTATGAAACCTCTGACCGACCAACTTCGTGGAAATGCGAAATCCATTAATTTGGACGACACCGCACGAAAAGCATTCTCCACAGTTAAGGAACTGATTGCTAAAGCAACAATGCTCGCACATCAGGACACCCGAGCACCCATTAGCATCGCAGTAGACGCATCCGACACAGCAATCGGAGGAGTCTTACAACAATGGGTTAACAACTCCTGGGAACCCTTGGCATTTTTCTCTAGAAGGTTGCTAGACACCGAATCGAGGTACAGCACATTCCGTAGGGAACTCCTAGCTATGTATTGCGCTGTACGGCATTTCCAACACTACATCGAAGGTCGTGAATTCACTCTTTTCACGGATCATAAACCGCTCACTTTCTCGTTAAGCTCTCCTTCTGACAAGTACTCTCCCCGTGAGTCTCGACAACTGGACTACATTTCGCAGTTTACTTCAGATATTCAACACGTCTCTGGAGCAAACAATGTAGTTGCAGACGCTTTATCTCGTATAACTTCCTTGAACAGTTTCCAAGGAATCGACCTTCTTAAACTCGCCGAGCTTCAAAAAGAAGACAGTGATCTTCAGCACGAGTTATCGTCCACAACACTTAAACTACGCATCAAACAGATGGGAACAGGTAAGGAAACCTTACTTTGTGACACATCTACAGGTAGGGATCGCCCAATCGTGCCGAAACATTATCGACGCAATGTCTTCAACACATTGCACAAACTTTCGCATCCAGGTGTTCGTGCAACCATCAAGCTTATAGCAGAAAGGTTTTGCTGGCCTGGAATGAATAAAGACGTGAGGGAGTGGGCACGCTCCTGTGTAAGCTGCCAAAAATCTAAGGTTATCAGACACAATAAATGTCCCTTAGGCTCGTTTAAAACTCCCGATGCTCGTTTCGACCATGTTCATCTGGATTTGGTAGGACCTTTACCAGATTCAAATGGATACTCTTATCTCTTAACCTGCGTTGACCGTTTCACTCGATGGCCAGAAGCAGTACCTATCAACGACATCACTGCTGAAACAGTGGCCCGCACCTTCGTCGAACGCTGCAAACATTTCACAGTGGACCGACGCTCTTCCACTCGTCTTACTGAGTATCCGCGATGCAGTGAAAGCTGACATTGGATACACTGCGGCTCAACTCGTTTATGGTACGACACTTCGACTTCCAGGAGAATTCGTGGATCCTTCATCCTCTTCAATGAACATGGATCTAACCTCCTACACGAACAGGCTTACAAACGCAATGCGTTCAGTTAAACCTGCTTCTACTCGACCTCAATCAACTGATGTTTTCGTTCAACCTGACTTACGATATAGTACACACGTTTTTGTTCGTCGAGACTCGCATCGACGACCATTCGAATCAGCATACGAAGGACCCTTCAAAGTTCTTCAACGTGAATCTAAGTACTATATAGTCGATAAGAACGGTACCAACGATAGCATCAGCATCGATCGCTTAAAAGCAGCGTATTTAGAAGGAAATCCAATCTACGTGGATTTTCCTTCGGTACAATCGAACGACACGACTCCGACACTTATAATACCTCATCCGACAACCAACACACACGATGATACTTCGACAGTATCCGAAAATAAACTTAAAACGACGCGTTCTGGAAGAAGGGTGAGATTTCCAGAACATTTAAACGACTATTGCACGTAAGGCACTTCTCGACATTTTATATTATTTTTTTTAAAAAAACAATTTTAATATGCTTATATATTTTTATTTCTATTTCAAAAAAAACAAAACAAAAAAACAATTTTTTAATGCTATTACGTGTTCATGAGTTTATTTTCCATTTTTTCCGCCGACATTGTGCTTTTACGCACATACGAGTGTATTTTCGACACGCACTTACATTTTCTTTTTTCTTTTCCAGGACGGCTGGAAAAGAACGATGACGTTTATGAGGATCCGAAATTTTCATTGTACATTTTTTTTACTATGTTGTACCTCCGTCCTATATAGTAAGGAAAGACGACCAGACGCTGCTAAATTTAGTAAGCTATCAGAAGAGTGTTTACCAACGACAAACTCGTTAGGTTTAAACTTCTGACTGGCCACGTCTTAGGGTCGTCACTGCCCCACTAGGGAGGGAGTGATCTGTAGCGGTAAATAAATCCCCAAAATAAATAGCCCTGTAAGTTTTCGACATTGGATGCTGACCATATGTTTTAGTGGACTCATCTAGCTGAAGGCGCTCGGTCAGGCATCCTCACCAGATCACGTGTGGTAACGCCGTGCTCAACATTAACCGCATTCGCTAGCCAGTTTAGATCAGAGAATTCCGATATATTGGTCATCGCCAAATATACTCTTCCAATCTCCTCGACTCTGTCTATTGATCTCTCTGGGCGGGAACGAAATATATTAGGAGGTGTTACTGGTAAAAGCGTTGTCAAACACTGAATACCTGTGACGTCATCATTGGTGAAACCGACGTCATCTGGTACACCTAATTGCAACTGTGAGTCTGTTCCTTTTTGGGATTTTTATATATAATTGCTTTATTTTTTATTTAGGAGGTGTTACTGGTAGAAGCGTTGTCAAACACTGAATACCTGTGACATCATCAACCTTCAAACATGAACTGGACGTTGTCAATACATAGTAGTGCTAAATCTTTAAGGATTTTTAAAGGAACAGCTAATTTTTTAAGGCTGTTCAAAGATATGTGGTCACATAATATATCAATAGTCGTTTTCAGTGGTATATTTATGAACAGGGAATTCACGTCAAATGAACACATTGTCTTTCTCTTGATATTAATATCACTTAAATGATTGACCAACTCAAAAGAATCCTTCACAGAATACTTATATAAACGTGTTCCAACAGGATCCAGTAATTTAGCTCGGTTATGTGTAGGTGATCGACGCACTGATAAAATTGGGCGTAAACAAACGTTTGGTTTGTGAATTTCAGGTAATCCATGTAAATGACGATACTCAGAACCAATAGGCTTTAGGAAATTAAATTCCTCTCTACCAATAATATTCATGTGTAACAGTTTCACTAGGTTTGAATTTATTCTTCCCTCTACTTTGCTAATACCTGCAAATTCACCATCAGGCATAAATTTACTTTCATCACTGAGAATGGATAATGTCTTACTTTTACATTCACATTTGTTCTTGACAATCACGCCTGATCTTTTATCAGGCTTTAACAAGACAATATCAGGGTTTGTTCGTACTTATTTTAGTGATTTAAAATACTGAGTAGTTAATATGCTTCTCTGCTTTGGTCCACGATTAAGGAATTGGTGAGCTATATCAAACAGTTTAGCTTTGTCTCAGCTTTGATTAGTTAAAGACGTAGGGGTTAGCGTACACAGTTGATCCAGTATCCAACACTGGATGTCAATTAGTCAAGTAAGAACAGGTGAAATCCTACATCCACATAAAAACTAATTCATGCCCTCTGCTAAACCAACAAGTTCGAACGTGACACGGATACATATTCATCAAATTTTAGTTATTTCGACTCCAATTCAATATATATTTCGCTTTCATTCACTTTCATTACCAACATGATTGTCTGTGGATTCGAAATGGTCTAACTAATTACCAACAATCTCAAATAGTCTAGAACTTCCACAACACCCAATCAAAAAGTCCAATTCCAAGTAGTCACAACAAAACTGTATTGGATAATTATGACAGATTAAAAGACAACAAAAAAACATTTAACTGTACAGTAATTATATTATCCGATTACCACAACTGACTTAGACTATTTGTCTGTCCACGTGTCTATAATGTGCTTGTAACGGAAAAAGAACAGTGAAAATCCCTCTGCAGCTTCTTTGTTGAACAGTATTTTCATTTATTTGTTCCTTCTCCCTTTTGTGTATTCCAACCTTTGTTTCGATCTCGTTTAACCATATCTTTAGTTCTTCAGTCTTCCTCGTTTGAGCCTTTATTATGTGATTTTGATTAAAGACTTATTTTTGGTTACCTAATTTTCTATTGCATGTTGCCGGACCATTGACAGTAAGGTTGTGTTTGACTAAGCTCAAGGTCACGGCGTGGTTCAGTTTGTGACTTAACCTTCTGACTGTCTGCTTGGGAGAATTGCTGCAATCCCTGCAGATAGATATTTGATCCCATCTGATTGGGAATATTTGTATTGATTCTCAGGTATCAAACGTTTTAGTAATAACTGTCTCTTTCATTGTTTAGCGCGCTACTTTGCGTTAGAGAAACTTCTGACTGTATAGCACAGGCTGTACCGTTTGAGGTATTTTGTATTTTTGATGTAATTTGTTCTTAATTAGAACCGTTTATATTGAGCACAGAGTTTGTGTTTTTATATAATATAATACGAGTATCTCAAAGACGCGTTGTGAGCTATACAGAGGAACTTGGTCTGGTCTAATTGAATAAATTTTGGGTTCGTCAGTCCGTTGTTCCAACCGAATATTGGCTGTTCGGTCGTTACAGTGCTCTTAGTTCATTGTGATTGTAATTGTCAGATCCTCTCTTTTGTTCAAAATTCTTATTCTCACTTTCTTCTCTTATCTGAAATCAGCATTTATCTACAGAGTCATCATTATTCAGGGAATCATCGGTGTCCAAATTGCAACTACCTGTCTCAAGTTCACAATTATCTACACCATAAAAAAATTTAGTTACACACAAAACAGAACTAAAATTAAAATCACTTACTTGATTAGCTTCCACTTGTTACACGTGTCCGCTATCAACTGAATGATCAGTTCAATCAACAACCACTATCATCCGATTACTCATACTCTGAATTATAATTCCCGTAGATGGTCGATAGCCTCACTCACTTGTTCAAAATCGCGCGGATAACTGTACTGATAGATGGACTTTCTCACCTCGACAGAAACTGCCAAAACAGTGTGGCCGATGCCAATGAGTTGAGAAACACCCCACGAAAATACTCTCACAGCATCGGACACATCCAGAGGTGCCTTGGTCAAAGTGACAACAACAGCAACAATATTAACAATCTACACTCGGACCAAAATTAGAAAACATACACGGATATGAAGGAGTCTACCAGGAAAACTGAATCTTCACTTGTAAGCATACACCCAGGATTAACACAGGTCATCTGACCTATTATTATTCTTATTACGAACGACTATACTGCATCCTCAAGGTCGACCGAATTCCCGTCTACTTGATGTTAAATTTAGTTCTCGTGAAAATGTCAGTCATATTCCAACCAGTCCGAAAGCAGTGTTTGAACAAACCTGATCATCCTTCTCATCCTAAGATGTTTGTACAATGTCCACCTCTACTCTGACCATTTGCTTAATCTAAACTCATCATCGTTCTCATAAATGACATTGATTTCGAACATACATTCTTGATTGATTTACAGTCACGTGACTCGATTGACTTTTTCTATTCAAATTTGAATGGAAATAGTCTAAACATATGTCAAGTCTATATAATATCAGTATAGAGCGATGATAATCAGTTTGTAAAAACGCATTTGCTGAGCGGTGTAATCATATAACGCTCTCAAATAAGTGATTATATTTATGGACAGTCAGATGGATTGTGGACAAAAGTGTCTTAATGATTGTTATTATCATTATTTCTACTGGAACTACTGCTACTGCTGCTACCAAAATTACCATTGTGAATACTATTACTATTACTACAATTATCACTATTACTGTTACTGCAACTGTTGTAATTATTATTATTATCACTATTCTACAAAAGAACCTACTGATTGTGACGAACGAATAAAAGAAAAAAACACGGTTTTTCAAGGAAGATGCACACCATCAGGCAGAAAAATGCCAAACAATGATTTAAAGCTATGCAAAACCCGGACGTGTTTAAAACGTCCAGGCCAAACAATCAAAAAGCCTGGACGTCATGTCCATTTTGTAATATAAAAAGTGAAAATAAATTTTCTAACTATTCACATTTGTGTTTTTGATTGTTTCACCGGTCAATAGTGTATGGGGTATCGTACGTGTTACTGTGGGATGAATGTAAATCGCATGGAATTCTCATGAATAATAAATTCCAGGAAGTCGACCATGTCAGAGCACATATTCTAAGGAATCTCGAGTACTGAGCGTTCACGACAGTATTTGGTATTGGATAAACAGTAGCAGCAATAGAAGAAATAGTAGTAGCAGTAGTAGTAGAAGTAGTAGTAGTGGTATTAGTAGTAGTAGTAGTCGTAGTAGTAGTGGTAATAGTAGTAGTTTTTGAAATAGCAGTAGTTCGAGTAGCAGCAGTGGTGGTAGTAGTAGTGATATTATTATTACTATTATTGTTATTATTACGAATATTAACGTTAGTCAGTGAATTTCCTCCATGAATGGATGTTCATCATCTACTCTTATTGGATCTCTTGATTTTATTTGTTTTTGCAACCACTTAGCTACATGTTCGCACACCCTAATTTGGAGATCACGATTACTCCTCCACATGTATATGTGGCCACACACACATTCAAATCGATAAACACAGTGGCATGTGACGCAATCGTTTCCATGTGTTTTACGTTTTTGCTGAGACATGCACATTGTTTTCTCTTTCATAAAGACCTTTGCTGCTTAACACGTCCGCCTGGTATGGCGGTCGGGTTTCTTCGTTCTGTGCTTTCAGCTATTTCTTTTGTATAACTTTGTAATTTAATTTCTCAGAGTACCAAAATGCCGCAGTTAGTGTAATACTCTAAACGTTGGAGCAAAATTTTTCCTGATTTTGCTTTGTTTTCTGGATTTTATTTGCTGCTACTGAAGTCACTGTGTTTATTCAGCTATGGTGGCTAGTACTATCATAAGGCCTTACGTTTTTAAACGACAATCGGTTATGTTTTACCTTGTTTTCTGGATATCCGAAGCCGAAGTTCGTTTTTATTTAGCTAAAATAATTGTTGCTGCCGTCTGTGACTCTAGCTGTTCGCATGTTTGTTGCTAACTGTCCTTTATGATGTTATCGGCAAAATGAAAGGAAACAATCTGCGTTTTTTAATTTTCTTCAGCATTCTGGACAACACCATCCCACCAACGAGTCAAACTAATACAGAATGCCCAGCAGTAGGGTGTTGAGATATGACTGACAAGCTTATTTTGTAAATAGTTTTTAATATTATTTGTATTTATTTGTCAATTTTTCACTGAATGTACATTCTTCATTAAATGAATGTACGTGTTGTTTTAGTCAATTACCTTGAACACACTTTCTGTTGAGCTACTACATAGCGTGACATATTCTTGCTGGTTAACAAATACTTTATTACTCACGCATTCCCTGTTCTATTTTCACTTGTGATTGAGTTAACGGAAGTCTAAATCAAATACTATCTACATTTATAGACTATAATCGGAATATATCACATCCTACATTGGACTATATCGCTAGAGAGTTCGCCAACCTGCTCAGAGTCATAAAGCATTTATAATTGTGGATTTACATTACTGGACCTAATCAGAACACGCAACGTTTGGGCAATTTAAGTAACGTCCTTAATTATTATTGTATTTGTAACAACTAATTGTATATATTAATATTACCATTGATTTTTAATAACTTTGTCTATACGTTTCGCGTTCATATCTGTTTGGTCCACCACAATTATTTGGTGAGCCTCGATTATTTTTTTATAGACATTTACTTTATATATCTACATAATTTTTTATTATTATCAATTGGCACGACACCATTTTTTGTTTTTGGCATTATGAACTCTCCTAATAAACTTATCGATATAGATAGCCCATCAACCAACCCCTTTCATTCATCACAGCCAGAAGATAAGGTTTTAAACTCAATCAACGCTATTTCTGAGCTAAGATTACCAACGTACGGTGTTAATAATCCCAGGATCTGGTTCACACAGGTTGAGGCATTATTTTTGTCGAGAGGTATACGCTCGCAAGCGACAAAATATGCATACATCGTTGGAGCATTACCCATAGAAGTGGCAGCAGAAGTCGGAGACCTGATAGATAACGTACCAGAAACGGACCCCTATGACAGAATAAAAGCCGCAGTAATCCACCGTACTTCGCAGTCTGATGAAAAACGCTTACAGCAACTACTCACCGCATGCGAGTTAGGGGACAAAAGACCTTCACGGTTGCTTAGACATATGAGACAACTAGCAGGCTCATACAAGTTAGACGAAGCATTACTTCAGCAGATGTGGTCACAAAGGTTACCCCATAACGTCAGACAAATCCTCAGCATATCAGGAGCCTCTGTCAGTCTTGATGATTTAGCAGACATGGCCGATAAGATGATAGAAATATATCCCGATAGTCTCGGTGTTAACGCGATACAACCCTCAAGTAGAGAAAACATGAGCGACGCACTCAACATCCAACAACAAATAACACAGTTAACACAGCAGCTAGCATCACTGCAGGCGACTATTTCTACCATCAATTCTCGACCTGCCAGATCTACGTCCAGAAGGAGATCAGTATCCAGACATCGTCTTAGGTCACCTAAGCGGGCAGCCGGAATTTGTTGGTATCATTCGAATTATGGTGAGAAAGCACGTCGTTGCACAAAACCGTGCAACTTCACGACAAACAAGCCAGACCATCAGGGAAACGAAGTGGCCAGACAGTAATGGCGGCAGCTGTTACTGGCCAACATTTTAGCCGCCTCTTCCACATCAGGGATCGTATTTCTGGCTCAGACTTTTTAGTTGATACTGGAGCAGAAATCAGCATCATCCCACTCCATCTCTCACGCAGACAGCATACGACAAGCACTAAATTGTCCTTAGTAGCGGCTAACGAATCAATTATCAAAACGTACGGTGAGCAATCACTTATATTAGATCTCGGACCCCGCAGAAGATTCACATGGGTATTCATAGTTGCTCAAGTCAAACGACCCATCCTCGGGGCCGATTTTCTTAGTGCGTACAACCTGTTAGTAGATATGACCAACAAGAGATTAATCGACGTAAACACACGTTTACAGGTAAATGGTACACTCTCCAACGACTACGAAATCCATGGTGTTCGAATAATGAAGCCTGTGAACAACGTTTTCAACGACATCCTGTCAGAATACGAGTGCATCACAAAATCAGATTATCAAAAGGAATGTAACCCACATCAGGTACAACACCATATCATTACCACCGGTCCCCCTATTAGCGCCAGGGCGACGAGACTACCAACAAGCAAGTTGCAAGTAGCTAAAAGAGAATTCGAACATATGATGCAACTTGGTATTATCAGACCATCCAACAGCCCATGGACCTCGCCGTTACACATGGTACCAAAGTAGGACCAAGATTGGCGTCCGTGTGGCGACTATCGACGATTAAACAATCAAACCATCCCCGACAAGTACCCAATTGCGCATATACACGATTTTTCATTAAACCTACACGGTAAATGCATTTTTTCGAAGCTCGACCTAGTGCGAGCATATCACCAAATTCTAATGGCACCGGAAGACAATGAGAAAACAGCCATAATAATACCTTTTGGTTTGTTTGAGTTTCTAAGGATGCCATTTGGATTAAAAAACGCTGCGCAGACATTCCAACGCTTCATGGATAACGTAACAAGAGGCCTTGATTTCGTGTTTGCCTACATCGACGATGTTCTGATTGCAAGCTCATCTTCAGAAGAGCATATCCAACATGTCCAGATCCTTTTTGATCGTTTTAAAAAACATGGCGTCATCAATCCTTCGAAATGCATATTCGCAGTCCCAGCCTTAGAGTTTTTGTGATATTACATCGACTCACAAGGGATCAAACCACTTCAGACGAAATTTGAAGATATTGCTAACTACCCCAAACCGACCTCGGTGAAGTCAGTGATAAATGTACAGTTTAGAAATAAACACCAAACATACTTATCGCTATCTTATAATGTATGACAGCAACAGCATCAAAGGCACGTTTTTTCCTATTTTTAATCAGACCGATCTGAATCCGTATACACATTAGAAACAGGTAACTCTACTTACTAAACTGATCTGTTTCGTTACAGGCTTCAAGCACTATACTTAAGTATATCATAATTCTTTCAACTAAACTGAATTATACGACAACCAAGAACACTAAACTAAGCAAGTGTCATAGTTATTGTTTCACTTGCAAAGACATGTTGCTCAAAGTAGTTAAATGGACATAATTAAGCCGATAAAACCAAAACACGAAATATAGGCCAGTTGAACTTACCTAAGGAAAAAAAGAAGGATACATAAATACTGCTTTCATTCTGAAGACAACAGGCAGTTGTTCATAGAAACATATTTTACAGTAAAACAAACGCTTCTTCAGCAAAATCATGCACTGACAGTCTATCTGGAAACAATCAACTATGTGAACAAACTCACTATGACTTGCGTGCAATGGACGTACAGTGCAACGCAGTCGGAAGTGTCGAATAAAAATTAAAAACAGAGCAAAACTTACTACATAATCTAGTTATTTAATAAAAAATACATTATGAAATGACAAACTCTGTGGTTACTTGAACGCACAAATGACAGTGTGCGATACATTAAGCTTACATGGTTGCGTTGCGGATAAGATCACCCGATAGAGCACTTATCCTTACAACTGAAGACTGAACGTTTCAATTGTTTGTGGTTGTAAAAAGTGGTATATTCAAGTTGTGCGTTACAGTAAGTCGACTTTTACGTAAACAAGTATCTCAAATCTTATTCAGTTTGCAGTGAGGTTAGGTGAAACTGTCTTTAAGTGCGTATACTGCGTCTGTTTTCTTAATCCTTGACAATCAAACGTTATCATCCCTACTTAAAAACAATAACTTTTGTATCAATTCGATAATAATTGTCTGACGACCTGATATATTTATTATAAATTTTGTTGTTTAACTTTATAAGTCTAATCACTCCATTATATCTTTTTCTACTCGTTTCTCAGGTTTTTTGACTTTGAATGTACTATGGAATTTACTAATGTCTACTTTCATCCGCATGCTTCAATAAAGGTTCCTGACCACTAGGATCTCGCAATGGTATAACTTGTGTAGTAAGTGGTTAGATATACGCCTCTCTCTTATCTCTCCTGTATATTGTTCCGTCCATTTTGTCTGACATTGCTCGTCTAATATATATATATATATATAATATAATATAAAAGAACACTACTGAAGCCATTTCGAAGTACGCATTTATCCTTTGGTTAAATAAAGCTTATGGTGTTCAGGTTTTAATTTTGAAATCAGTTTGTTACATCCGCGTTGTTGACGTCTGTTTTGTGTCGAGATTTGTTCTTGAAGCATTTAAGTAATTGTAGATATATTTTTTGTTTGCAGATTTATAGACGTTCTAAAAATTGGGTCCCATTCACCATAGTTTTAAACATAACTTCAGTAGTTATCAGAACTGTAATGTGCTCCTTGGTAAATCCTGGTATGACACTGTCTTCGAGATTAGCTATAGTCATACAGATTTATAACAATAAGTAACTAATCCATATTTAGACATTAAGCTTTCGTTGTCCGGTCGAATATTTCATGTTATGAGCGCTTATGATTGCTTTAAGTGGTTAACAATATGTTATTATAAAAATAAGCTAATGTGTACTCATATGTGCTTAATTGTTGTCTTTGATTGAAGCAGAACACCAGCAGTCGATGTGAGATTATTGGAGTTGTTTATCTTTATTTCGTTTTTATCGTTTTTAGGTAACTTCATTTTCTCCATACTAAAACACTCGTGTTTTTAAGATTGCTTCTGATCTATTTCTCCATTCTGCGGCTTACACAATGAATGGGAAAGATCGAGAAAATATTTTCAAGTTAATAAAGCGTGCTAAGGTAAACACATTTTGCAGTTATATATATATATATATATATATATATATATATATATATATATATATATTTGTCTGCTAAAAATACTTGATAAAAGACAAATTCTATTTTTTTTGCTCGAAGAAAAAAACATGCGGAGTATACGTAAGTGACTGTCTATTAATTATGGTAAAGAGCAAATGTAACTGAGGCAGTGTTGTTAGCTCTTTGCCACATTCACCAGTTCTTATCACTTTGATGTCAATAGTCTAATAATTCATACATTTCTTTGTGAATTAATCTATGTGGAGTAATTCACTTTATTGTTGTGATCTGAATTTATCTAACTGAAGCGCTTATGATTTGTAAACTTTTACGGTGAGACTATAATTTATGGACGGCGTTTGAGCGAAGCTAGAATAACCTTGAGAGTATCCGCCTAATAACTACGCCCAAATGAGGGTAATAAACTGGTGTGGGGAATCAGAATTATGATTTACGGTTGATGGTTAAGGTTAAGAAATAGATTTAGGGTTTTCATCACGAGTTGACATAAGCTACAATGCCGAAACTCTATTTAACCAAATGGATGATTGAACTTCGAGTCACAATCCGAGATGTATTATCTTGTATCTGATTGGTTCGTCCACAAACTATAATCTCGTCACTTTTACTTGCAGATTCTTTTTCGCAAGCTAATTTACCAGTAATTCGGTTCTTTTACTTGTCTCATACAATTTAACTTTTTGCATTTCATTGACAGGAATAGCAGTGGGCTGTTTAATTAACCAAATCATCTGTATATATGTATTCTTCCTCATTCTTTTACAGGAACTACAAACTGACGAAGAAAAGAATCATTTAAGGTGAGTTCATACCATAATTAATTAATCTTTAAGACAGTTTTCGTCATAAGCTAACAGAAATGGAACAACTCTAAATAATTTGAGAGTGCTAGTTTGCTAATTAATTTTCTCTTAAACTCCATAAGAGGACATGCCATCTACTTCTGCTAGTCAGTCAGTCAGTCAGTCAGTAACTTCTGCTACGTTCTAGCTCATCATTTCAAGTTGGAAAACTTTAATCATTGGAATCGCATTAAAGAGAAAAGTCTTTCCTGCTGTGGTTTTGAGGTTAATTTAAAAATTAGACTTTTACAAATGTCTTCCACATTTCAGAAATATAGCGTCAAAGCAACTCGTATTTCAGCATTCGTTCGCTTAATATCAATTAGATAAAAAACCTCGTTGCAAAAACTTGAATTGATGAAATAAATTTGAATTAGACGTCCTGGTTTTTCTCACCTGTTATCTAGAAAAGGAAGATTATGGTATGGTGACAAAATTGTTTAAAAAAAAGAATTCCGCTTTGTACAAACACATTGTGTAACACTAACTTATATTCCAGTCAAATTTTTGCTTATTTCAGTTTGAGTCAACTTTGAGTAGTCTTTGTTAATGTTTTTCTTTAGGTCGTATCATTATTTCAGCGAATAATAATGTCAATACAAACTATTCTTTACATAATCATGTGGTATAGTCTACTGTTGTCTTAGAATATGTCAGTGAGTTGACTGATTATCACATTGAACTAATAGTTACATCAACTTTCCTGTGATTACCCACTAAATTTTGATTAAAGTTTTATGGCCGTAAAAAAATTACATTATCAAAGTCAACTTTATTCTTGTTTGGATTCAGATAAATTTAAATCCTTTCGTCAAGGAGACTGCTAAATGTAGGGAAAATGTATGTTGTGAATATCGGGTTGACTTATATTGTGGATACACTATTTCATTCTCGTCTTAATACCTTTACTTCACTATTCAGTTACAGTCAAAATGCTATCAGATTATATGGATCCATAGCTTTTATTATGTTATATTTCTCATCAACTTAATTTACAGGACTCAAGTCAAATGTTTCATAATGTTTACTGATAAACTGTTGTCTGCTTGATATAAACTTACCTAAGTGGTTTATAGCTTTAGAATTCAGGAGATCAGGTATACTGACAGATCGTTATACGCTTTATTACAAAGACGTTTACACACACATTAATAAGATCTTCAAAATTGTATTGACTTTTCATAGAACTTTATATGACATATTGACTTAATCCAGTCCATTTTCTGTAACATCCAAAACAAATAAAACAGTATTTCAAGTACTTTTTATAATTATTAGATTATTGAAACTTGACTGATGCATAATATTAGTTGGTTGTTTGTTTCTTAAAATCATTTTTCCACCATAACTTATATGGCTTTAACATCCATTTAAATCAGAAAACGAACCGAAGGTCAATTGCTAAAATTTACAAATGTTATGAAAGGTTACCAGTATCGTTGGTTTGTGATAGATCCAGATTCAGGAAGGATAGAATATTATGAGGTTAGTTGATTATCTTATATAAAACGATAAAAACGAAATTTTCTCTCACAAAATTAATTGGCAAATTTATGTAAAAATTTCTCTCATTATTTAAAATTATAATTAGAATAATTCTGTATCAGTCACTACTACTGTTTTCTCTTTTTGTAATATAAAATATTTCCCTACCTATTTTATGATTCCTTTTCAGAAAGAAGATCATAAACGATCACTTAAACCCCGTGGAGCCCTAAGTCTTATAGTAAGTGCTTTTGAACCCAAGAGTTTTAATATTTTTATTCAAATGACTGTAAAACACAACTGAATCAAAATTGTATTTTCGAAAATTTCTTATCAGACTACATGTAGGATAACATGTTGATAACATTTGGGTTGTTGTAGTGAATAGAGTTAAAATACATGTTTATGAATTAAGTAATCATAATGATGGTAACAGTCTTACAAATTTGTAAGAGCTGTTATTTTACTACTCAATGCTATTTTACCGATATATCTCAAAATAAGTCAAAACTCGTATTCGATGTTCCATTCTTGGAAACATCATAAAAATATCCTAAAGTCATATAGGCTCTTATATAGTTTGCCACGAATTGGTATTCATGGGGTAGGTGTTTTGAAAATACATCTGAACTAGTAAATCTAACCGATTGTAAGAGTTCAGTCAGTCATTTAAGAGATACAGAGATACGGAGAGTTATCTTGTCCATTTCGCGTTATAGCGGAATACAATTTTCTTTGATAAGTTCCATCTTTCGTAACTCATTGGGTCTTAGACCAGATAGTGTTTTTTAATGAGAGTTGCTTATTAGAACTAAAAGGGGGTTGTACGTGCATTTTACTGTATACGGCCACATTTAAAGTGCCTTCATACTATATAAACTTTTCGTTCTTATCTTCGTTGACATTAAAATTACCTTATTTTTCTACAATTTTCAGTATGCCTCCATTTGTCCTTCAGATGAAGATTCACAGACCTTTTTTATTAACGCCGCAAATGGTGATTTATTAAAACTGAAAGGTTTGTCTCATATATAATTGTTTTCGGTAAAAGTTAGGTATAGGGAATAGCTTGGGCGATTCCAAGTAACTATGTGATTTTTCAATCGATAAGCAGAGAGTTTGTATAAATCAAAGTATTTCGCACCAGAAATAATGAAACCTGTTCGAGCGTAATGGTTTTCAAGGTTTATTATCAGTTTCCCGACCCTAATTTTGTAAAAATATCGCTGCGTAAAAACGTTAATGAGAGTTTATTCACCCCAACAATTTTTCTATGAATCCTTCTCATAGCCACAAACAGTTTCACTGAAAATTCATCATCACCTACAAAATTTACTGATAAATTAGCTGAGGAGTTACTAAGGCGTAATCATGGGAAAAACCTGGTTGATGTCGTATCGAAATGAAGGATTTATTAACTATTTTGGCATTCCCACTTCACCAGCTCACCTAATATTTAGTAAACCACTAGTAAAATGATTTCCTTACGAGTTTACTATAAACAAAATAATTTTGAACAAAAACTGGTTGATTCACGTGTTAGAAAAAGTCTATGTAAAAAAAGCATGTGATTTGTTTAACATAATCATTTTCGCTTTATGATAACAGAAAATAACTCTTCTTAGTAAGTTTAAGCGTTACGACCAGTCATCCAGTCAGTTAAAACATAGAACCATGACCCACTAGCATAGAGAGATATAATTGTTGAGCTAAATCTCAGAATAGTAGTCGAATTATGAGTGGTGGTAGAAAAGATTAAGGTTTAAAGATACTATACACCTGCGCCATTGCAGACGATTTTGTGCCATGTCATTCAATGTCTCTGTTGGTTATGATAATCACGTTATGATCATTGTCCGAAGATATTTTTTACTTGGCAGTTTTATACAACAAGGCAAAAGTTACTAATCTTTGAATTTCAGGCATAAGGTTGAATCTAGTTTTCTCGATTTTGATTCTCTCGTCCGTATACCATATTTTTTGTTGTTTGTTTGCTTGTATATTTCTATTTGTGTGTTTTTGTAAAATGGTTCACGTTAACACTAATTTCGCGAAAGGAGTATACTTCGAATATGTTCACTACTTCATTATTGATTTCATTAGTGAAATCAGTAAATGATAAGACAGTTATATGTTATATGTTGTAATGAATAATAAATAACTCCAGGGATAATTTCTTTTGTGTTGTTTACTTTTCACAAAAAAAGTATATTTAAACTGAACCCAGTAACAGAGATATCTATTTGTGTTTTGAGGAATTAATGTTCATTTCTGATATGACAGGAAGAAAAGTCAAAATTAGATTGATTTATTCATTATGACTTTTATTCAACATTAATTCCGTCTTTCTTAATTCAATGTATTGATTACTCAATGTAGTATTCGTTTTATTTTCCCGTATGATAATTTCTTCTGTATAACATACGATAATCTTGTATTAAGTTAACATGATCTATACTCAGCATATGATTTGTTATAACTCTAAGAATTTTTCATATATGTGATTTCATCCTAGTTATTAATCAAAATGGTTGTACATACCAATATATAAATGAGTCTGTTTCCAACTAGAATTGTCGTGATTGTTCGTGTTTCTGGCTGCTTATCGAATGATTGTATTTTTGCTTATTTTTTAGCAATTGATGCTAAAGAGAGGCAATATTGGGTAGATCGTCTTCGAGCAGTTGCTGAATATCATTCAGAGAAAGCTGAACAGCATCCATTGGTAAGTAAGTTATATGAATGACAAATTCATGTATATCTACGTCCGTTGTACTCGTGGATTAATCGGTGTTTTGTTTGATTTGGCTTTTTTTTATTCCATGATTATTTTACTATTTGTGCAAATAACTTTCAATAAACCACAAGTTCTAGATCTGCTCTATTTATCAATATTTGTGGAATCATTTGATTATTGCCTTTCACATAGCTTATGTCTCATCCGTTCCGGAAAACCAGTCTACGCTTGACTTTTGGGTCGGTTATCATTATTATAATTATTGTTCAAATGCTTTAGTGTTGTTCTACTTCATATTTTCCAAAATGACTATTCTAAGCACTCTGGTATTCTTTCCAATATTTATCATTCTTTTTAGCCGTAATATCTTCTTGTAAGAATATTTGGTGACTTCTAAAGTATTATAAATCATTTAAAACCTATTTTCCTTCTTTTGCATAAGAAACTTGATGAATGTCTTAAAATTATCTGATTCGTTTCCGATGATTGTTATAAATGAAATGTACATTGGGATATGATTCATATCTGGTTCTAGTGATATTGCCTGGTTACAAAAATTTTAGTTAGTGAAGGGTTGTTTGAAATTTAAATACAATTTAACTCTTTACCAACTACAGGTTTATTTACTTAGTTTTGAACCACAGTGCTTATATAAATGATAACGGTTCTATACAACCGCACGAACATTAGTAGGTGTGACTGGATTTGGACCGGAAACCTACTGGTTTGAGACCGATTATCATAGCCACTAAGCCACCGTACTCACGCTAATCGATTAGCCAATTACTGAACTTACCTGTTTTAAAAATGTTACATTCGTTATCTTCATATTTGATGACCGAATGCAAATGAATTAAGTAAGAACCGGAATACAAATGCTCCTGAATGTACATTTAAGTAGTTGAATTGACTTACATGTACATTAGCAATAAACAATCAAAGTATGGTAAGAATGAGTAGATACAACTGCACTGGAATATTAGTAGTGTGGGAATAACATTATAATTAGATATCTCTATATTTTAATTAGATTTAATCTAACACTGGCACTTAGTATCACTAGTAGTTGTATTGTAATGACTTAAACCTAGGACTGCATTAGACTGATTTAAACTACAATGTTGAAAGAAATTAAAATTGTCATCTAGTCAGTGCGTCTTAAGTATTTATACATCAATAGACTAATGGAAAATGATTAACGGATAATTTGATAGACAGGCAACTAAACAATATTGGAAAAATTTATGTATAAGGCATTTGAATTTAAGTAAAACAAGAACAATTAATGTGGCAGAATGACATGATTTCATTATATTTTGCGGTTTCTTGTCAACTACTTACAGCCTAAACATAATAGTATTAATCTCTAAAAATCGGTTTACGTACTTTGTAACATCGGAAAAGTTCTCATCAATCAAGATTAATGAAACGATCAATAAGTATGAAAGAGGTATTCGTATGTCAATTAATGTGAATATTTATAGGTTAAATATGGAAATATTGTAGCATAAACAACTAAGAACATAGAAATAGAATTATTTAAAACTATTATATCAATAGATGAAAATAATTATATTTGTAATATCAGAAGGGTTTATGTGGATGTTATAGTAAATTCAATGGTTGAGATCATGAGTCAATTGAACCTAGACCACCATGGAAAGCTTGGAATATCCCGATGAGTAGAAAAATTAAATTTTCTGACGTTTCGTGACTTAGTATAAACCACTTCTTCAGAGAATAAATAACCAGATTAAATTAACCCAAGTTTAAATAGTACAAAGGAACGAGGCAAGAATATTAGGTAGGATCAAACAAAAACACGTCTGACCAAGTCATTGTTATGCCATTCCGGTCAAGGTGGTTTATGTGAGGCATTTTTGTATTATTTGTGTGTATGATAAGGGATGAAAAATGTGACATTTGTGGTGAGAAAGGATAGAGTTTAGTTTATAAGTACGATAACAGTGTGTAATGTGAATAGAATCAAATATAGTGGCTTGGATAGATGACCGAAGTCGGATGGATAGTAGGACCTTCTTTCCTATTGAGGGCAATAGGATTAAGCAATATATGAAAAGCTTCAGCGACTCACCTTTCTTTGTAGTTGGAAAGGGTTTTCTGTATTGTTTTGATTTTGATATCGATTTGATGGTTGTTGAAAATGGCACGAACTGCTATTGACGATTTAATTTAGAGTCTCCTCGGTTCTACAGGATTATTAGGTGGTTTCGTTGTGTACCTGAGATGTTCTTTGGCTCGAGTCAAGATTTCACGGGATGACTCTCCAATATACAAGGCATCACAACATAAACATCGTAATTTGTAGACACAATTCTGTGTTGACATAAATCGGAGATCTCATTACTACTCCGTTAGTTTGTTTACATCATGTCCCATCAAAAGTAAATAACGTTGAATTTAAGCTAAGTTTTAGGGATTTCACGATTAGAATAATGCTTACAGGACATCTATCAGGTAGAGTATTGTCGTTCTCTAGTAAACCACTAATAAATTCTAAGCATCTATCAATAGGAATGTTAGTGCATAATGATACAACATCATAGCTCCCCATGATTTTATTTTTTTTGATAATTAATTCCGATATTTTTGATTTAAAGTCATAGGAATCTTTAATTATATTATGTACGTTATGTTGAGGTGGCTTTAATATGCTGCTCATATATTTAGATAATACATATGTTGGCGTGTAGCTTGTTGGATAGAAGCTATTGAAGTTTAAGTACAAGGCACTCCATATTCCCTTTCAATAAATATATCTTTCCAATCGACCTGTTATACCAAGGTCAAGAAAACGAAACACATTGTCTTGTTCATATTCTACTGTAAATTTGATTTGAAAAACATAATGTATGCTAAGTGCAATGCATTTCAGATAATCCGACCATATATTTACTTTCAAAATGGCAAATGGAAATATACGGTTGTAAAGATAGAATATAGAGACTGAATATCTAGATAAATATTAAGAGTGAATACGCCAACACCATTTTAATTGGCTCTGAACCATGTTACCAAATGTCTCCTACTACTAATTGTAGTAGCAGCTACGACTGGATTCGTGACTCTAAGTTTGAAGTTTTGAAAAACGTTTGGCTACTCTTACTCAAACATTTTGATATTTTCAAATACTGGCTTTTATAGTATCATAGAATTTTCCCATGATTAAAAATTGCTCACCTGAAGTTTGTGTTGAAAGTGGATATACCTGCCTTTGGATACCTTAAATTTCATTAATTAATTAAGTCGAGATAAATATGTATATTTCTGTAGACATCTTTCTAGTGTATTCACCACTAAGGTGTTTTATTATCGTATATGAGTGGGAAAGATTCCTTATCAGTTTATGTTTTCTGAACCTACATCGTTTTGTATCCAGATGTATTAAAACAAATTATAGGTCGTACTAATTAGACCGATCAATCATATTAAAATAATACGTAAAAATAGTTTGGCGTAAAACAACTTTTTCCCCCAAAATTTTGGCTTTGTTTTTGATTATTTATCTTTGTACTAATTACTCATTCTTAATCACTTCATATTTAATTAAAACTTAAAGTACATTATTCTTTGTTGCCTCTTTTAACAGATCGCTACTTTATCTGGGACTTCTGAATCCTCTAACCATGTAGATTCACAAACTACCGGATCTCAAGTGCCAAATTCCTGTAAGTTGTAGAGTTTGTCTTCTCAAGTTCACTCTTTTTTATTGGATCAACCTTAGCAACAACAGTAAATAAACTGGAGTTAGAAATGTGAACTATTGGATACTGATTCAGTAATCTGTGTCGAGCATTCTACATGTGTCCTAACGCTCTTGAGTTTGACCTGCGGAGTCGTGCATAATTCTGAGGAGTCCCATACTAGGACGAAACAATCATCTAGTGCTTCCTAGTTTTCACTGGTTGTCCAAATAAGAACAATCAGTGAAATTGAATAACTTCCATAAGCCCCCTAAATAGTACATAATATTTGAGTACTCTTTGTATGTACTTTTGGATTTTGTTATGTTCTTTTACTGCCTAGTATTCCCTGACCACAATATCTCTTTTGACCGTTTACAAATTACAATAGGAATTGAGAGTGAACGGTTTAAATTCCGAAAGAAATTGAACAACAAAGATATGACACTAAAACATTGACTTTTGTGTAAAACATCAACATCTAATATCTCGATTTGTCCACTAGGGTTGATTGATCAAAAATGAAACAATCAAAGTATTCTGACATGAGAGTTATTAGAGCCTGTAATTATCAGGATTCCATTTCGCTAACAGAATGAATAAAATCTCATATATACCACTGATGGTATCCTAGTTTGTACATTGTAGTTTCTGTCTTTATCTTACTAGTGGTAGCTTAAGTTAATACTAAATTTTACATACACACTCAACAGTCAGATATACGTTTATGTTTAGACACCATCTTCGTTTGAATACATCTCAGTGTTTTGTCTTTACAGTTATCGTATCAATAATCCACTGGTCATCTACACCCTTAATTGAATATAACGTTTGTTGATAAATATTGGTTACTCGAATTAAATTCACTTAAGTTTACATTTTTTCAAAGTCATTTTTCAACCATTTTGAAATATCTTTTGCTTTACCGTGCTTCATTTTTTAGCTAAAAGTTCGTGTTCACAGTCAAATGAAGTTAATCATACTAGTGATCAGTCTACTAATGGAAATTTTCCTATTGCAGAGTAAGTTTTGCGTGTCACTGTAAACCATCAAAATAGTATGTGTTTAAAATTTCTTACAATAGTTTAATTGTTTCAATAATTATTCACAAATTTACGGTTAGTTTTCGATATAATTTAGTCTACTTCTTCTTTGGAATGAAATATTAATGACTAGAGAACTTGATTTTTAACTTCTAGGTCTGAGTTGATCGGATTTACCAGCCCTCAAACAGTGTTCAACTTAAACCCAAGCACGGCGAGAACCATAATTTATCGACAACCTTTTAGCGATACCTAAGTAATTTCGAGAAAATTCAACTACTAATTAGTACGGCCAGAAGTATGTTATAAACCAGTGTGAGGAATTAGGATTTGGATTTAAAGTTAGGATTTTTATCACAAATTCATTCTATCTATAATATCAAAATGCTGTTTAGCCGTATAGATGGACGAATTTTGCACCAAAATCCAAAACTTGCTATCTTCAATCTAATTTATTTATTATTTATTTAAACACATAAATAGAGGTATAAGGGGGCACTAAATATATATGCGCCATATAAATCATTCCATCTATGTGAGGGCTGTGACACTGCTCGGGTGCTCAAACCGAAGCAGGTGGTGTTCTTAGGAGGCCACCCCCGAGCCTTTGACTTAAAGGACTAATCCTCAAGACAGTGGAGTAACGTCAGGAGATACAGTCCCATGGTAGTCAGTGACCAACTACAGGTTCATACGCCATTTATTTCCTTAGTATCCTGGAGCCCATGTACACCATTGTTTTGGAATCAGGGTTTTCGAACTCCTTTAGGTAGATCCTCTATATCCACCAACCCAGTTAAAGCACCGGACATCCGCTTGTTGTCCTCTTACTTTCGTAAACGACACCCTAGCCTCGAGAAGGCAGTGAATAGGACTTTCTTGTCAGTGGTTGCATACATGTGGCCACTGGAAAGCATCTCGAGAGGAAGAGCGGACTCTCCTCACCCTTTACTGTACCAGGGCATTTTGGGGGTTATATCTAATTTGTTCGTTCAGAGACTATAGTCCTGCTGGAGTTCGCTTTGCTCCAATAATACTAATGATCTTCACTTAATCAATAACATCATGGCCACCAATAACGATCGGATATCCCAGTTCCTGTTAGTTCACGTAAACTCTTTTCCCAACTTGTGCAGCCAGAACACAGGAATAGAAGGTGACTTGCCTTCTTTTATTATAACTCGAAACTCACATAATAATACTCATCAATTATAAGACAATTCACTGTAATTAGAAAATCACAATCTATGCATAACTATGTCACTTGTGATATAGAGTAACTGAGAAATAGGTTCACAAAAGGGACATGTGTCAACAGTTGTCAACTTAATTGTAAGCTTACAATTAAGGCAACATAAAAATACTGTAAACTAAATATTTAACAAATAAACAACAAGAACATACATAATAATCTACTGTAGAATAGTTATATAATCTCCACCTTTTCCATTTATTCGCTCATATCTAACAAGTACGTAAACTTATATTTGGTAAATTTATTTCATATATGCATATACGCTAATCGATGACCCAAAAAAACCAATTCATTAAATTTACAGTTAAAAATTAATATTAATTAGTTTACTATAAAACTGTTGATCGACTTACATAATGAAATGCAAGTCCTGTTATATAAGTAGAAATGTATTCGTCGTTTATAATCAAATATATTGTGTGGCAACTCAAACTGTTTGTTTATTTTAGCAGTTAAATTAATGAGTCGATCTAAGCTAGACCACCATCAAAAACCTGGAAGCACTAGACTACTGTTTCGTCTAAATTTTGATGTTTAGATAATGAGGAATGATACTCTAGGACCAGATGATTAAACCGTCTACGAAACCTTAATGTCAATACCAATTCTCCCGAATAATGAACTGAAATCCAAACAAAGAATTCAACTCAACAGAACTGGTTTTCTCCCAATAGGCATAACATGCTTGATATAGTGAGCCAATCAAAAGTAGCCAAATGAGGTCACTTGATAACAGTTAGAAACGACCCGAAGGATAAATCCATATCATTGGCTAGGAAATTGATTGATTTTTTAAGAGGTAGAAATATATGTGTATATATACGTACATGGTATTGTTTACTTTAATCTTCCTATTGATGTTTGGGACTGCAATCGGTCAGTGTCGTATTGGCATATGTGCATACTGTGCGTATTGCCTCGATATCGTCTTAATTCACATGCATTATAAACAAAGGTGGGTAGCGTGGTAGTATTTGAAGCGAACGATACTGGGTTCGAGTCCCGTAGAGGGCATCAACTCTGAAATGTGGGTGCATCCGGCTGACGAGTCCCAAGTGGGACGAAACACAGGTCCTGGATTCCACTGCTAGCCATTATCCATCTTTGCTTATATATATATATATATATATATATATATATATATATATATATATATATGCGCGTTATGCGGTAACCCAATAAGCTCCCTCTTCCGATATTACCTGTTTCGCTCATGTGGCCAGCCGAAGTGGGGTTAGCGCATAGTAAGTTGTATATCGGTAACAGATCTCGGGCACCGCTCATCATAATAGTACTTATGTTTAAAATATGAGATATAAATTTAGCTATACAATACAAGTGATTCGAGGGTATAACTTTTGTAAAACATCTTTCCCATCTTATCAATGAATAATAAGTCTATATCAAACTAAGACTGAAGACATCATTCTTTGAAAATTAATTAATCTTTAATAAATAAGTTTCTCTTTGTTTGATAGTGTACATTCAGTGATTAGCATTACTTTGTGTGCCTACAATTTAATATAGTTGAAATAAATATCTATTTTTCTTTTTAAGCGCTAGTACATTCCCTGTATTCTGTCCTGGTCGCCCATCTGATCCACGAGTCCAACTTGGAGAATTATTTCGTCAGTTAGAGTTGGAAAATCATGCACTTTCCACTGTTGTTGATGTATGTCATATATATTGTTTCCGACGTTCTTTTTCGAATAAAAAACAGTGAAAACAATTTAAGTTTAGTATATATTTGTAAAGGAACTTTCTGACCATCTATACTGTATTGATTTATGATAATAAAGTCAGTCAGCTATTATTAACATTACGACCTTGAACAAGTTTGTGTCAATTTACGTTGTCGTAATACCTCATGTCACCGGGACAGTAAGAAAAAAATCAATAAAACAAGATAGATAGAATGGAAAATATTATCTAATAGAAGTGGATTCTAAACACTCAAGAAATACAATGCAAAAGAAATCAATGCGATTAAGGAATGAAAGTGACAAGTGACTTAAGGTTTTGAGAAAGCTAGATAATTAGTAACAACTGTACCACAGCGATCAATATTACACCATATCACCCAACGGCTTGAACCATTGATTACGAACATTGTCTTTTGATGAAGGGGGCACATCAAACCCGGAAGTCTATACCTATCGACGTGGTTGAAGTGAGCAACCAATTACTTCGTGAACTGACATTACTATATCTTAGTCTGTTCACCCTAGCCCCTTTTTCCAATTTACTCCAGTGTTACAGAATTTAAATTGAACTGTACTATGTTTTTACAAATCACTGTAAGTTACGTACTATATTGTTGTGTCTGCTACTGGACATACTACTTTACTCGACTGGAATGGAAAGAGAACGAAAATTTATTTCAAAAATCGAAACAGAAAAATGTATATATCAGGAACATTATTGCCTACATAAAATCTACACTGGAATATTCTAATGTCTTTACAATCCCTTAGCACTGATTGATAGAAAAACAGACCTGTTAGCATCCTCCGACATAATCTTCACTGGAGTATGCAATAATCAAAACTCTATACTGATAACATATGCAATAATTATGACCAGAATGGGAGTTTGTGGAGATTGTACTCATTTTAATAGTTGAATTCATAGGTAGATTTAAGCTAGACCACTGTTGAAAACATGGTTTTCAAATATACAGTAATTATTGATTTTTCTTCGTTACTTGTTATAAATTTCTATTCTACTGTCTAAAATTGTATTATCTAACTTTGGTACACAAAAGTAAAGCCTTTATATTTAATAAATTGTGACCCATTATACCTTATACCTTTTGAGTAATTAGGTTAAATTGAGCTTCGCGTGCCGTAGTCCGGTTACTCAATTTCTATCTCTTATCCTTACTTAATAATGAGATGTTTAAAAAAATTTTTGTATATGTTCTTTACTCGATTAGAGAACCTCCATTCGAAGTCCGGAAATTACAGATGTATTCAAAGTAAGTTGTTCTTCATAAATATAACTTTTCTCTCCTGTTCGTATTAGATACACTTAAACAGTCTACAGTTAAGAGTACATTTCACTGACGATCTATAGCGACTATTAAATGATCTTGAAAAAGTAAATCCAATTTTCGAGCGATCAGGATTTAAGCGACATACTAAGAAGCCAAAAAATGTTAGGGTTAAGATCAAAAGCTATGGTTAGAGTTGGAGAGATTGGTTTGTAGTTAAGTTAATAAACAATTATGCAGATGATTATTTGATTTCAAGGTGAGACTATAATTTATGGCCGAACTAGGCAAAGTCATTATATGTGGAAATTATATTTGAAATAATTTCAGCGATTGAAATTTAAAACAATTCCAACGTTTCGTCCAGCAAACTTGTTTGAACTTCTTCAGGGTAATAATCAACATCACCAAAGAAATATATAGCGTTTGGCACCATAGCTGATGTCAGTTCATAATGAAAATATTAAATTTCATCCCTAGCCCTATCGTTCAAACGTAAATCCGAATTCTAATTCCTCACACCAATATACAACTTTCATTTAACCTTAGTAAGTGGACATTCTAATGTCATTTTAGCGTTGCTGAAAGGTCGTCCATAAATTATAGTCTTATCGATCAAGTTCATACTTATTGTTTTATTGCTTGTTAATTTTAAGTGTCTCATACTGACTAACTATAAGTAGATTTGATCCACTTCTTACTTTTCGCTTAATAAAATACAATCTGTCCGTTACTATGTTTTGAATCCTGCACAGTGATAAGAGAGCCGCTATCTTACATTTGTTTGGCTCATCAGTAAAGTATAATTTAACAAATTTGTGTCATATTATTTTTCGTATTTACTGATTTGGTATATATATCCATGTATAAAATATCAGTAACTGTTATATTCCTTCTAGTCAATATCATTTGTTCAGGGATTATATTGCGCATATTGTTTACCAAGATTTGCCCACTAACTGAATAATAGCACGTACAGTTTTCGTTTTATCATACATTACTTCTTCATATTGTCCTAGGTTTCAATATTCTTAGTTCAAAATATTTGAGTCTTTTTAGCATTTTATTAATTCAAGAAGTTGGTCGACTTTAACTTAGTAAATTGGCGGCTTAAAGGATTTTGAAACCCACAAAATCCTCGACTTAAACACATAAATCAGTGTGTATTATTTAAAAATGGAGATTACTTTTCTATAGTTATCTTTCTCACTACTTTGCTCTTATAATATTGAATTTTACTTGATTAACTCATGGTAACTTTGAGATATTTATTGTTGTTACATAACCGGAGAAGATCATTTTATATCAATTAAAATACAGATAAACTGATTACTACATTTATATACTTTCATTAATTAAGATAGTTTGAACATCTCTTATACTTACCCCGTCTATTTTCCCAACATGTTATGTTGAATAATGAGATTAAAACACTCATTGGTATTAAAACGTAGACCCGACATTTATTTCACGGTTATTGTGATTCCTGATGAAAATGTACAAGGATAACACTGATTGCTATTTTATTATTTCCATGAGTTATTTTAACTTATCGTTTGAGCTTGTAATAATCGTTATATATGTGTAAACATATGAATAAACCATTATGACAAAATAATAAATAGGATATATATTATTCACGCTAAACGTCAGGGATTAGTGAATAAATGAGTTTACTGTTTCTTAAATGAATAATCATTTAATAGAAAGAATGAAATAATATTTATGCTTGGGTGATATTTGCAAACAGTAGTTCTTAACATAGTAGAGTCGTTTTGTTTCGTTTTGAAATGGTATCAACAATAAACCCAATTTTGTATTCTTGAGTATGGTATTTTATAGTTAAATAGGTAGTTGTTGTGTAATTTCGCAAATTTATCAAATTAACAATTGTTTTCAACTATACATTGTTCAATCTATGGAATTGATCTGTATATAAATATAATAAGAAAACTTATCTGTATATACAAGAATGTAAATCAGTAATTGTGGCTTGGAAAGTGTACAGCTAAGTATGATTCACGTAATATCAATAGCAAATGTTTTTTAAGTGTGCAGTACGACCAAATCATTATCTTGATTTTCCCAATTTTATTTCTTGATGACAACACGAACGATTTTTATATTTTAAATATTAAAAAAAAGAAGTTGACTAGTTCATTGCTGTCTACTTTATGACATGCAGTTTTTCGTAAAGTAACTTCATCGACTTATTAATGACATGTGGTGTACTTCACAATTGCTTCTTAATCACTTCATCAATGGCCCTTTCACAATTTCTGGTGGTGCTTCTTCACGCTTCAAGCGATTGAAACACTACCAGATACAACGTACTCAAGAACATGTTATCAGTGTCTATGACAATGTTCGAAACAATACAGCTAGTCCCTTATGTTCATAGTTTGCAGAAAAGGTGATCAGTCGAGAAATATTTGCATTGAATCATGCTCAAGTGTCGATTGATTGGAAAATGTTTGTTTTTTAGAAATTAAGTTCACTACTCGACATTCTTTTTCAAAACTATAACTAGATATTTCATATTTATTTATTTATTTTAACACAGATACTGGTAAAAGGAGGTACCAAATACATATGCGCCACACAGATCTCATTTGATATGTGTGAGGGCTATGATACTGCCCGGGTGCCCAAACCGAAGCAGGTGGTTTTCTTAAGGAGCCACACCCGGAGCCTTCGACCTGAAGGTCTGATCCACAAGGCAGTGAAGCAACGTAAGGAGATGCAGTGACCAACGATTGGTTCATACGCCATTTGTTCCTTCAGGATACTGGAGCCCATGTGACCATTGGTTTGGAATCAGGGTTTTCCAACTCCCCTATGTGGACTCTTCATATCCATCAACCCGGTTAAGGCACCGGACATTCGCTTTTTATCCTCTTAATTTTGTAAACGACACCTCAGCCTCGAGAAGGCAATGAGTAGGACTTCCCTGACAGAGGCTATATACGCGTGGCCACTGGAGAGCATTTCGAGAGGGAGAGCAAATTCTCCCCACTTTTGGCCGTACCAGGGCATTTGGGGTCAGATATTTCATAGTTCGGTAATATTATATAGTATACTCCGAATTCAATTATGGTTGAATTAATATCAATAATATTTGTTATTGAATAACCTTGATTTATTCATTTAATATATATTATAATATATTTTATTGTAAAAGTTAATTTTTGCTATCATCTCAAATATTTATCCTTTTCTTTACAAAAACAAAACAAACAGAATCTTCTTTTATCAAAAGCAACAAGTCAAGCAACATTAGATTGTTTAAAACGTTGTATGGAATTGATCAAACATCAAGAGATAACAAGTATAGTAGAAAATGGTAAAATGGTTAGTGATAGATCTGATTAGTTTTGTCCTTTTTTTCAATTAAGAAGAAATAATATAAATGATGTTCATAAGATAATGTTCATTTATATAAGATTAATAATAACCTTATAATATAGATATCTATGTGTTTTATCGTTCCAGTCAACCTGTAATATTTTATCAGATTTAATTTAGTTACATATGAAATAGTTTAATACCTAACTTTGCTCATTATTCTTTTTACGATATGTAAGACGGATAGCTTAGTGTGTTAATGTAGTCATGATGAATTGTCATTACAGTTGATTATTGTTTGTTTAATGAGACATTACGATCAGTGGTTATTTAGTTGTTTAATAGCTTATGAACTTCAGAAGTTGACGATTGATCATAGGATATAACGTTGTATGAACTAAAACTTACTTATACAATTCTCAACGTGTACAAATTTATTTACCCAGCTTTAGATCACACTATATATGTGAGGGGTAGTCATACCAGCCGTCTGTTTAAACCGAGGTAAATGAAGATGAACTTGAACTATCGACTTAGTGGTTGAAAGTTGAACACTTTAACTAACATTTAATCGCTCCATCGTCTTGGACTGATACGGATACAATACTCCAAATACCTCTTTAGTGATTTTCAGATAATGCGCTGTTTCTTCTAGTAACAATTAAGTAAAATATGTAAAAAATTATTTTTTTTTAATGGTAATAAATTTTCATTACCATTAAAAAGTAGGTCAATAAAGTGTTAAATTTGAAGCAAACTCTGCTGGTATTAATTAGTTACTGTTTAGATCTACTGGCTCAGTGGATAGTTCATTGGCGTTCCAGTCTCAATGTGAACATCACCACTGAGATGCACCTATATCCAACCAACTAATCTCACATAAGATACGAGTCCTAGGTTTTATCACTTGATACATACCAAATTTACCAAAAAAACTACTGAGTTTGAATCCTATTCGCGACATCCTCATGAAATTGACTACATTCGACTAACGAGTCTTTAACAAAATGAAATGATATTAAAACATTATATTCTTTATTCATTTATTGTTTCGCTCAGGCTAAATCGTATGCTTCAAATACTACAGACAGTACAAGTTTGTATCCTAGTGTATTTAGTACTGTGGTTGACTCATCTGAAACTTACAAAATCAATGATATGAATATCTCTAATGGCCTTTCAAGGTATATTTTATTTTGATCTTATACTGTTTCATTATTATTATTATTATTATTATTATTATTATTATTATTATTATTATTATTATTCAAGGTGATCAAACCTATGATTTTGAAAATTAAAGGACTGATTATCAGTAGTTTAGATTGTTTTTGTCTTTTCTTATGAACTTCGTTCATCCTGTCAAGTTTATTTATTTGTTAGTATGTTTTGTTTAGTTTATAGTGTAGTGCTTTTTTTTTCTTAACATGACTACTGATTTACTTACTATATGTGTTTTTCAAAACACTTCTAAATGTATCAGAAGGGGTTTGTGGAGATTTTTAGAAATTTTCACAGATTGAAATCATGAGTCAGTTGAAGCTAGACCACCATTGAAAACCTGGAAGCACTGGACGGCCGTTTCGTCCTAGTATGGAGTACAACCAGGTCTGTTGTGAGATATCAGCTCACTGAAGACAACGGTATATGGTGGCGCAACTTCGTGGATTGGTTGAAGTTAGACATTAACACCGATGGATGCCGGCTCAGTGGTCTAATGGTTAAGTGCTTGCGCGCGAAGCCAGTAGGTCCTGGGTTCGAGCCCCGCGTGGTGCGGGATCGTGGGTGCGCACTGCTGAGGAATCCCATACTAGGACGAAACGGCCGTCCAGTGCTTCCAGGTTCTCAATGGTGGTCTAGCTTCAACTGACTCATGATTTCAATCTGTGAAACCTTCTAAATGTAATTGGTTTTCTGAAATGTGGATTGTCAATGAAGAATAATATAACCTCACTAATATTCATAATAGGAATTATGTTGTTGTAAAAAAAGGCAACCTAATTGTGTTCCTATGAAGTAACAAGTCTAAAATTGCTGGCTTAGTAATCTCGATCTGTAAATTAAGACCTAATACTGGTTAAAGTATTTTAAAATAACGTATTTATCGTTAGCAGAACAGATATTTGATTAAAACATGTTTTAGAAATCACTTTGAAGCGCTCTAATAGGTTCACTCCCAAAAGTCAGTGCCCGTAGCTGAGCTGAGATGTCTTTAGAATATTCATGTGCAAAGTTTATGCATACCCTGACATTTTGTTACTTAACTAACATACTGTTTTGCCTAAAATATATTTATATTCTGTAAAAGTCGCGTTTAAATTTGGGAGCTAGTTGACTAAAGTGTTCAAGGCTACTGAACGGTAGCAGAATACTAGGCCTTATTAAAGATATTTAACGGTTATATTTACGTATTCTAAAGAAAGTTCAGTAAAACTTTATTATAGATGAATGATCATCTTTAATATTGTTTTTACTGTCAAAATTTTCTTATTTCTTCCTAACAAATTTTATACCATAATGGAGGAGGAGTGTGTACCTATTGTTTATCTTTTTTTTATCAAAGTCTATGGTGAGACTACAATTTATGAACGAACCAATCAAATGTAAGATAGCGGGTCTTGGATTTTGGCACAAAATTCATTCATTCATACGTCTAAATAGCATTACAGTTAACGCCACTTTGTGACGAAAACCCTAACTCTAGTTCGTACGATAATAAATTATAGGTCAGAATAAAGCTTATAATAAGAGGTATATAAATATACATAATCTAATTATTGAATAGTTATACCATAAGAATGTATAGATAATATTAGTCAATTAATGTCTCGGAAGTTACTCGTGATTTAATCTTCGCTCGGATATAACATTTTGAGTTTATTTTGCTGTCAGAGTCCTGGATGATATATGAATAGATAGCTATAAATGAACCTTGGTAGGGTCGTTTCATTAGTTCATTATTGGTCAAGTACCTATGTTGAAAATATTTGGTAATATTCAAAATCTTATAGCTAACAAAACGAACTCATCTTTCATAAAACTTCTGACCAGTTTTGTGTCTTCTTTAAGCTTAAACTAACCAAAATGTCGACCATTGAGTTAGGTATTGAGGGCAGAGGTTTATGCAACCCAAACTTTCTTAAAGCTCTAGAAAAGTCACCAAAAATTTCAGTACTTTAAATAATATGTTGATCTCCCTCTAACGTTCATACACTAGAATGATTATTATGAAATGGCTTAAGTGGTTTCTTACTGATAATAAATAGATGGATGGAGGTGGGGAGAGGAAGTGAAAATTGTCGATTTTCCTACTTTCACATCTAACTAGAGTTAAGCAATAATAGAAAGCTAAGTAATTTACTTTGAATAATTTTTCAAACTCGATTGGGAAATTTGTAGCTTATATCTTGCCTTCGTTTGTTACGCTAAAGTGTTTTTTTTGTGTGTGTTATTGTAACATTTTTGATATTTTAAAAAAATACTCCTGATGAGATATTGAAAAAGTAAAAATTGAGTGAATTACTGTTGCTTCTCATCATAGCACTACACTATTATACAGTTTTCATAGTTTTATTCGTCGCAAACTATTCTCAGTTGGGTTACCATTGAAAACCAGGGATCACTAAAATGCTGTTTCGTTCTAGTATGAAACTCAGTTGTGTGTATACACGATCTCAACTATATTTCAATCTTGATACCTCTGAACTCTAATGCTTGGGAGTTTCATACTAAGATGAAGTCTCCCAAGTGTCCCACCGTTTATGATCATCCCTTAACAGAGGTCATTGTTTGACGAATACAACCTACAAGTTAAATCAATCTTCACATAACCCCTTCAACTGAAACAGTTAATATCTAAATATACTGTGATCCATAGTAAAAGTATTAATAGTGAGTTAACAATAAGTTGAATAAGAGTTCCTTTATTCAATTTGTTATTTATTGAAACCAGTCATATAGGCATAAAAATGCGAAACATGTTTGTACATTTAGGACGTGGGTGATGGCCAGGATAAAAAAAGAAATCATACAGACCTATATTGAAGACAAAGATTAGTTTTTTTATACGTTGGGGTTTCTGTAGCTCCCGCTATAACCAGGATTGGACACAACAAAGCAAGCAAGTAACTCCTAATCATAAAGTTCGGATTTATGAACCCTTCATACATTAATATAGGGTAAAATCGTGACTACATAGCAACACACTGAAAAGATTTCATTATAGTTATAACTATGCAATAAGTGGAAAAAAACTAAATGACAGGTCCGTAATAAATTAACAATAACTTGTGTTAGTAAAGCACACAATAATAGTTTAAGTATTTATGAATTATACAGTATAATATAGACAATAGTTCCACTTATGACCGTTCCGGAAGTTCAACTCTCCTTAATATTTATTCCGACATAGGAGAAAGCTTCCATAGCTGCTTTTGGTTTATCGATTTGATGGTCAGTAATAAGTACTAGACATATAAGGACAAAATTTTGTAAGTTCCCTTTTCTAATCTCTAACTCAAATATGAAATATAATATTCTTTTTTCGATAAATACTCTGGATCTCCCCAACAATCTTCCAATACCATTGGTTGGTAACGGCCTCACACCTGACTGGATTAAACTCCAATAGTCACTCCTTCTCACTATAACTCTGGGAATTAACTCTCTCATTAGTAACCACGTGATTATTATTATTATTATTCAAAATAATCCTCCAATAATTTTAATAACATAAATTATCTACGTTATCATTTTATTCTGTATAACATTGCATATGACATTGAATGTAGTTTTTATCAGTCTTTATTCTATTCTATACTATTGTTCATAGTAGTGTTCAACTATCCGAAGAAATGAAGAATATTCTTTCTACATTTCCACTGCCTATAAAAGATATGCAAATTAATTGCAAAGATATGCCAAACGATGTAGATGAAATCGATGATAATCGTAATGATAACAATGAAGCTTTTGCTAATAACAATGATAATAATAGTTCACAAAAACAAATTATAAATTCATATAATGATGATGACGAAAATGATGAACATAATAAAAAAGTCATTTTACACTTACTTTCTCAATTAAAAATTGGTATGGAATTAACTAAGGTGAGAAATGGATATATTGTAATTTGATTAGTTATTATATTTCTTTATCTGTCTATCTATTACTTGAGCATATTTGGTGATTGGTTAGCAAGAGAATCTAGAATTTGCATCTCGTCCTGTTAGGGACACATCAGCTATATATATACCTGGGCATCCCAGTGTTGATACCTACACTGGCTGTCATTACAAGCTTAAAATATCAAATTTGAGAAATTAAGGACCTTTACTTATTATCTACCGACTGTGTTTTCTTCATTTAGTCTCTATCGGTTTTTGAAATATTCCAACGTATACTATGATTTGTTCATTTGTTAGTCGTATAATTATTTCATATCGATATCAAAATAGATCAAAGTAGACACTTGAAATACCAAAAGTAATTTGCCTAGTGTTCCAGACTGTTCTTTATTAACTTGAAACTGTGTGTTGTTATTTTAAAAAATATCTATGATGGTAATTATTATGATGCTTTTAATTGACAGTTAGGTGCGCATATTTTTGAAGCTTCTCATAATGGGTATGCCAGTAATAATTCATTCAATAATCCATCACTTAACTCAGTAGAAATTGTATCTGACTGTTTACTTTATTGAATATAGATGTCATGTTGTAACATCTTCTGGTTTAGATGTGTTTTTCTTTTTAAAAAAATCAATTATATTTTGACGTTTCATGTGCACTTGTGTTTGCGTGTACGTATATGAGTGTTTTCTGCCGCCAATTCGAACTAATTCACAGAATTTTTACAGATGAAATGGTTGACACGTTTTTTCACTTGTCAAATACTGTGTTATGTTTGATGACTGACAACTCGAAATGGATTGATAAGTATCAGTGGTGAGATTATAATCTGTGGACGATCTTTGAGCAATGGTTAAGTGACCTTGTAAATGTCCATCTACTTACTAAAGTTAAATGAGAATTAAAAATTGGAGTGAGGAACTAAGTTTTGGGTTTACAGTTGGACGTTAGATTTAAAAATAAAGATTAAAATTTTCGTCACGAATTGACATCAGGTATAATTCCAAGATTCTACTTAGTGATTTGGTTGAATGAATTTCACGTCAAAGATTTTCTATCTTAGATTTGATTAGTCCATCCATAAATTATAGTCTTGCCAAAATAATAATCAAAATAACTAATTAACAATAATGATGAGTTTTAATTGTATAGAGGCAGATCTCTAATATTGTTAGAAGTATAACACCGGTTGCCACTACTCAATTACTCACACCATGAAACAACACTTTTTCTCAAAAATATAGAAAAGAAACTGGGTTTAAGGATGATTTTGACAACTTAGCAGCGTTACAGCGGAGAAAAACCCAAGGAACAAGACCTTTCTGTGGGTATCTCTTGGCATTTTACTTCGATGCTTTTAGTTCTCTGCCACTAACGATAAGAATTCACGGTGAGGTGTGCTATTTTTGGTATCGAGATTTACTAACCCTCTCGTTTCATTGTAAAAGAGGGAATGATGGTTGTCTGACGGAAATATCATCTTACCGTCACGCCCTGGTGCAGTCAACAGTAGGATTTCACCCGCGAACCACTAATTTTGTGCTTCTCCAACCAATCCGCCTAATACGATTGAACCTAAATAGAAAAGTACTCCAACTAATATATTTCGCTTGGGTCATCACACTATGCAAGCCCAACAACCATATCAAGGTATAACAGCTACACACGGGGGTAAAAAAGTAGTATAACAGTAAAAGGAATAATAATAAAAGCCAAATAAAATTAATGTTTTTATGAAATGAAAAGTATGTTCTGCAACGTTATATCTCAGATTTGAATGAAGATAAAACATAAATGTATATGTATCATGAGGATCGATTATTTGGAACATGTCATATAACTACCCTAGTCGTGAATTACAGTTATCTCATGAACATCTAACAGAAAGTGTAAAAGATTTAATGAATTGATCCACTAGTTTGCTTTGACTGTCGTTTAGCAATTTGTAAACCTCACAATACGCTGAACAGCATAGCATCGTGGCTACATGGTGAACATAACTGGATAATGATGATTCACAACATCTTTATCCAATGTTCCACTTTTAAAAAAGTACTCTGAGACTAATATCGACATTGTAAGCATAAATGGCCTTAACTAAACAAAATTAGTATTTTTAAGGTAGTCTAGTTTAATTTTGACGATATTGATGTGTTTTAATAGAAAACCAATAATTGTGAAAGTTTTTGAATAGAAAGTTGTTCAAGCGGTTGTTTATTTATAGTATAAATATATGAGTGTTTAAGAATCCGATATTATTAGTAGTATGGTTTATGTAATACTTGTGCACAAACTTAATTAGCTGAGTAAGTAAAGCTCAGATAAGAAACAAAAAAGTAGAAATTCTAATTCAGCTCGTGGAAAAAGTAAAAGTCATGTGATAAACTGATGAGTATAAAGTTACCATAGCAAAAAATATTGATAACTCAGTCATATTTATTTTATGGCAACAGTTTCAACTTTTTATCGTCTTCATGTACTCTTCATTACAAACTGGCGACAAAAAAATCTATTTACTAAATTAATTTTTGTATATGTATTGTTCCTAGGACAATCAATCATTATTCAATGATCGTTTGATTCATCACTATGTATTGTATAAAATGTATATTTCTGTTATTATATACTTCCTTCTTTCTATGTAGGTAGTTTTCCCTACGTTTATTTTGGCGGAATATTCTTTGCTAGAAATGTTTGCTAATTATATGGCCCATCCGAATTTGTTTTGCAGGTATATATGTGCAGATCTCCTTTTCATTGAACATTATCGAAATAATTATATATGCCAGATTTTTAAATATGATTGATTTATTCAGTGAGGTCATTTCAGGCTATGTGTTCACTCTCAGTCGCTTATTTATTATAAAATCCCAACTAGTAGTATCTATTCGAATATATGAATATTTACTTCTATTTTAGATAACTCACAATCAGTCAGTCAGTCAGTAACAACGTAGAACTTCGTACGTACGTAAATCAGTTCTAGTTGCCACACCACATTAGCACAGAGATGCAGTTGTCGATTCAAATCCTGTAGTGGTAGAGGTAGCAAGAGTATAAGCAGTAATCGGGAAGATTAGGGTTTGGAGATTTTATTTAAAGAGTATAATCCAGTGAAATAAATTTGGAAAGAGGAAAAAAGGGACATGAAGAATTCAGAAGTTTAGAATTTGGGAGAACACAGAGAGTGGATGCACCTGCGCCATTGCAAACGATTTTGAGCCATGTCATTCAGGGTCTCTAACCATCGGTTGCTATCATCTCGCGGTCCCCAACCAGGTAGTCTACACCTACCAACATGACTTCATGGACTTGTGCCATGTTTTGGTTTGTCCGCCTCTAGCTTTCTTCCAACCTACTCCTATACCACCGAACATAGCACGTCGAGGTAGTCGGTCGTTGGGCATACGTAACACGTGTCCGAGCCATCTCAACTGATGAAGTTTCACTACGTCATCAATCGACTTGCCATCCTTACCTAGTACCCGTTTCCTAACAACTGTGTTACTTACTCGATGGTCCCAGGATATACGAGCAATGTTTCGAAGACACCTATGATCGAATACTAGTAACCTACGGATATTCTCTACTCTTACCGGCCATGTTTCACTGCCATAAAGTAGGACGGAACGAACTGCTGCGCAGTGAACACGTCCTTTGATCGATAGACGGATATCTCGTCTACGCCATAAATGACGCAAAAGCTAGCCGAGCCTTCTGTATCCGTGCTGAGATTTCGTCACACACCAGAGCACAAGGGCTGACGAGACTTCCAAGATAAGTGAAGCGATCGACACACTCAATTACTTCACTCCCTATCATTAGTTCGGGTGTCAATGCAACCCAATCCTGAAGCAACATTTTGCATTTCGAGGGAGAGAATCGCCTCCCGAACATGCTTGCATTGTTGCTTAGAGTGGTCAGAAGACTCTGCATTTTGTCAGCGTCTTCACCAAATAAAACTATGTCATCAGCATATTCTAAGTCAACAAGTGAACCTCCCGGTAGAAGTTCAACCCCTGGAAATCTACATGATGAAAGTGTTATCTCTAAAAGTACGTCAACCACAAAGTTGAACAAGAATGGAGAGAGTGGGCAGCCCTGACGAACACCACTTGAGGTGATCAATTCTGATGACAGTTCGCCTCAAGCCCTCACTCGACCAGTTGTGTTCGAGTAGAGAGCCTTTATAAGGTTAATGTACTTCTTTGGTACTCCTTTCAGTGACAAACACTGCCATAGAACCTCACGATCTACAGAGTCGAATGCCGCCTTAAGGTCGAGAAATACTACCATTTTGGGGCGTCTGAATGTGTGTCTGTGTTCTAGAACCTGACGTAGTGTAAATATCTGATCTATACAACCACGTCCAGGTCGAAAACCTGCTCTTCACGAGCTTTGGTTAGGCGTCGAAGTATTATTGAAGCTAACATTTCAGACACTATATTAGTCAAACTGATTCCTCTGTGATTGTCACAATAGAGCTTTTGTCCTTTCTTATAGAGTGGCACAATCAGTGATTGAGACCAGTCAGATGGGATTACGTCCAGTTCCCAAATCCTACCTAAGTCCTCGGTTAATCTCATTGCTAATACTGGACCACCATCCTTAAAAATCTCAGGAGTAAACCTGTCAGGGCCTGCTGCTCTCCCTCGTTTCAGATTTCCTATGGCTTTTTCAACTTCGTAAAAAGTCGGAGGACCTACATTAACTTGCCATTCAGGTTGACTAGAGATCGCGGGAAACCGAAGTGTGGCTGAAGGCCAGTTGAACTGATCCCTAAAGTGTTCTGCCCATCGATCCAATCTCCTGGATTGAGAATGAATAATATGTCCATCTTTCTCTGAGATTGTTTCGCTAACGGTCGGGTTCCTAATTCCGGTTTCCTTAACGAGTCTGAACAATTGTCTGCTATTACCTATTGCCGCTGCCTTTTCCATCTGTCTTGCTTTCGCTACCCACCACTGTTCGCGATCGTTGCGTAGGCTTCTGGTCAGCTTGCGCTTAAGCTGACTCCGCTCTTCATTATGTTCAGAGCCAGGTGGAATGAGTTTCCGAGCATCTATCAGTGAGATAGATGCTGCTGAGATCCAGTGTTGCTCCCTAACCTTCTGGTTTACCTTACTAGCAGATATCACTGCTGTTTCCACAGCTTCTCGGATATCATTCCATGCTGCCTCGGGGTGGGCATCACAAACATGGCTGCCTAACTGTTATCCCAGTTGTTCCTGAAATATACTCTTAGCTTGACTATCATTAAGTAGGCCCCTAAGAGGTTTCCTTGCAGCGTCTTTCCTACGTCCAGTAAGACGCATGCAAATACGCGCTCGCACTAGAACATGATCTGAATCTAGGCATGTGCTCCAGAATGAGCGACAGTCTTCTATCGACATCCTCCATCGGTGGCTGATAGCGATGTGATCTATTTGGGTCCAACGTTGGGACGAATTAGGGGGTGGCCCTGTTAAAAGATGTTTTTCCTTATGCTTAAAGTTAGTATTTGCAAGGAACAGGCGGTTATCGGAGCATAGCTGCAATAGACGGTAGCGATTATCTGTTCTTTGAGTCACGACACCATAAGATCCACCTAGGTGTCTTTCCCTATCGCTTAGTTTACCTACTTGAGCATTAAAGTCACCGGCCACTATTACTACATCCGAGCGCTTAGCTTCTAGGAGAAGGTCCGAAAGCTTTCTGTAAAACTCATCTTTTACATCATCTGCGCTGCAGTCAGTGGGAGAATAGGCAGAGACGACGAAGAAGCAACGACGAGTGTTCCTATCTTTTCGGATCTTTACTGTTCCGTTCAGTCGGACAGCGCACAAACGACTGTCTACTGGGATCCACTCTAAGAGAGCTAGGATAAACATATCATAAACATTTTGATTGGATTTGTTTTCTATTACAACTAACTATTGGTGGCTTCTTCACTCTTAACTGGTTAAAAGCTATCCATTCCCTTTATATTCAACTTCGAACAAAAATCTAAAAGCTACCATCTTCAACCCAATTATTTCCGTAGTATAGTATAGTTCTGTCAGCCATGTTTTCAACTGCAATCAATTCGTGATGCTGCGTGTTCACCATCCACTGCCATTGGGTATAATCCCTGTTTCAATCTTCTCGCAACAAGACGTAATCCCACTAGTCACAAGCATAAAATAGGTACGTACGTATTTCTATAAGTTAAACATATAAGGAGATCGAAAACGCCCTGGATCATATTTTTCATACTGAAGTTCCTAGGATACTATTTCATGAAAGAAATTCATTTTTTCGCAATGTTTATTCTAAGTTAAGAATAAATATCAAGCTCTAGTGTATATGGTTGTTTTTTTGAATCCGTTAGTATTGTGGTGTGGGTTACTTATATCCATATAGGTAGTATATAACGTTGGTCAGGCATAGGATGTATCTCATCAGAAGATCGATAAGGAAAGAACGGAACCGGAATGCAATTGGTATGAAAATCCATGAACAGTCAAATCTGAGACAACTAATATTTGCAAAGGAACAGTGAAGTTTGAGACGATGGATTGATATTTTGCAAATTAACGATTTACCATATGGTTCTCAGATTTTATCGAGGTGCTCTGTAATTTCGTGTCAAATACATCTGGATGTCCCCCACTCGTGTTCTTGTTCACTACATTTGGTGTCGCTGCCAACCAGGAGGGGGAAGGGTGCTGTTTTGTGCACGCCGTTGCGGGCCCTGAGTTGAGGTGCCGGTTGGGACAGTCTGGTGCGGAGAGGTGGCGTTGGCTGTGGCAGGTGCTGTCGACTGAGAGGAGCGGTCTGACGTGCGGTTGCTGGGCGGACATCGGATGTAGATTGCTCAGCAGGTCGGTGGGGCACAGGTGTTAAACGTCCTAGGTGCTGGGTGCATGTCGGATGTTGGTGCCCCGGCAGGTCGACGGAGCTATCAAGGTCAGCGCGCCGCAGACTCGACATTTTGACGGAGGGCGTAGCACAGACTGCGTAAAAGAAGAATGTAGCACGGCGGGCATGAACCAACGCTAGAATGAATGCTTTAAAGGGGGGGACGAGTGTGGTGTGCTACTTATGTCGACATAAGTAGTATATGACGTTAGGAACAGAAAATCTGGCAGCAGAAAGACAAGAAAATCGAACAGTAAAAAAATAGAAACAGAATGCAATTTGTATGAAAATGCAAGAACAATGAAGTCTGAGTCATTTTGATACAACTGATGGTCATTTTACAAATTGAGCATTTACTATATGGTTGTTAGGTTTTATTAACAAATTCTGTAATTTCCTGTCAAATACATTTGATTGTCTCCATTTGTGTTCTTGTTCACTAAGGTATCATATCTGTTATTCAAATTAGATTTACTTCGTACAACTATCCAGTTACAAGTAGTATTATTTCAGGGAATTACGATTTCCTCATCCCACTTCTCTGACATTTGCCTTAGTAATTACATATCACTGTACCAATATGTCGTGGGAATTTGAACTGATGACGTATATGCCAGATTTTAGCTTGGGCATGACTGACTGACTGATTAGCTAATTTCTTCTCTCATCATCTGAGAAGAAAAACACCTCTCTTTACTTATCTCTGTTTCGCCTCTGTTGATATTTGCATTTTATATATTTTCATGTTCATTCATATATCTGTTAATTTCTTCTTAATTTCAATCAATAAGTTGGTCATTTTTACGTTGCATTGCTCTGCATATACATCTAAGTTTGCAATAATCTAGATTATTAATAGTGTCGTATTCTATATGAGCATGAATTCACACTATACATTAATTAATTATTAGTCTTTTTTATTCTGTTGTTTCATTACATATTCATACTTTGACTCTTCCATACCCCTTTATTATGTTTATAATGAAGTTGATATTTATGATTCAAAATATTTTTGATCTAATTTAACAGGAATATAAATTAGTTGGATATTATATAGTTTAATTCATAAATTCAGCTCAGTATATTGTAGATTTCCTCTCTATTTCGACGTCCAGAAGATAAAATTCAAATTCCATGTAATATAACTTGTTCCTTTTACTACATTGAAATGTACCATCCTCATATGTAGTAGTGTCATAAAATATAACAAAGTCCATTTTAAATAGGATATTTACTGTATATACTACATTAGGTGGTTTTATAAATTGCACACTATAGAAAGATTATCCATCTAATATTCCATAGATGATTGTTTTCATGAATCACTTCAATTAAACTCTAAAAAAAGTAGATTTGTGAGGTTATATTATTCTGTCAACTCTTTCAGATTACTAGTGTATAAATAAATATCATTTATAATGAATTTACTATTTCTCTTTTATATATGTTTATTTAATTTTATAGCATTACTGATTATGTAGATCCTGAATGGCGTATGATAGCATTTATTCAATGGTATCTTACTACATTTCATTCTGGACATCTGGTTTGTTCATATTTTATTTGTATATATATATATATATATATATAAATTTTCTTTGTTATTTAAACAAATATAATTTTATCAGAATGGGTTGTGTGGAGATTTATAGACATTCCACTGGTTGAAATCACGAGTCAATTGAAGCTAGACCACCATGGAAAACCTGGAAGCACTGGACGGCCGTTTCATCCTAGTATGGGACTCCTCAGCGGTGCGCATCCACGATCCCGCACCCCGCGATATTCGAACCCATGACCTATCAGTCTCGCGCCAAGCGCTTAACCAACCAGACCACTGAGCCGGCCGGCATCCAACGGTGTTAATGTCTAACTTCAACTAATCCACGAAGTTGCGCCACCGTACACCAAGTTGAACCCAACTGGTAACGAATTCTCACTAGAACTCCAGGAGTGTCTCCTGAAGCCAGTCACTAGTGAGCAGGTGATTATTATTATTATCAGAATGGTCTGTTGTGAGATAGGAACTCACTGAAGGCATTGGTGTACGGTCCTGAATTCCATTGCCACTATCCATGTTTGCTTAAAATGATATTTTTTTCTCTTTAAAGGATACAATTGCCAAAAAGCCATATAATCCTATTATTGGTGAGACGTTTCATTGTAGTTGGATTGTACCACCAGATCAACTAAACAGTGAATCATGTTTATCAGAAATAAATAAAGATACGTGTAAAATGTCCACCACCACAAAAAACAAATACAATGTACCCATAGTTATACGATATTGTGCTGAACAAGTTTCTCATCATCCATCTGTTACTGCCTTTCAATTTTCTTGTCCTATCAAACAAATGAAATTGACTGGTTCATTGTGTACTCAGTCTAAATTCCAAGGCATGAGTGTTTGTGCAGCAATGTTAGGCAAATGTAAGTGTACATTTTAACATTGATAATGTTTATTTTAAATATTATTTATTTATTCTTATCATGTATATTTCTGAAGGATAAACAGTTCAAACACTTTAATTTCAACTTGATGTGGAGGGCCACTCAGAAGTAGTCTGATGAAAAGGTCAATCGATGGCAATCAGAAGTGACTGAAAGGACAGATGCATTTCATTAGCTAATAAATGGATCAATATATATATATATATATATATATATATATATATATATATATATATATATATATATATATATATATATATATATATGAGTATTTGTACATTTTATTCAGCAGTCCAATACACTTTCTCACTCACTCTTGTGTTCTCGCTTAAGTAGTCAGTTGAGGGAATTAGCGCGTAGCACACCGTGTACCAATATCAGATTTTGGACACCACCCGTCACAACACAACCAAATAGTAATGATCATGAATTTGAAGTGCTTACACCTATCTTATCTAATAAATATCTCTCATTAGTATCATTATAGGTGCATAAGCAATAAGAGTACTCCTGCTTGTTATGTTCTATATTAAGCATTTCTAAAATGAGGCGATAAAATATATTTTTGTAAGTTACCAATATATAAATCTTTTTGTACCATTCGTTTGTACCTTCATTTTGTCAAATGTTTGTGTGTTCAAAGCTGTTTTAGTGTTTTGAAAAACAAACACTACAAGTTAGATAATAATTCTAAACGTCATTAATCAAAATTGTTTTTCATTTATCATACCGCTGTATGATTTTACACTCTTATACTACAATCAGTCATAGGTAACGTAGGATTTACCACTGGTGTCCATCGGTTCAAGTTTCCATACCTCATCGGCTCAGTGAAATGAAATTATCAAGACGAATTCCATATTAGTAGAAGTGGTTATAGTATCAGTGATAGTAGAAAAAGTGAAGCTTAGAAAATATGATTCGAGAAGGAAGAATAAATTCACAAAATAGCAAGGATAATGCAATTTTGAAATTCAAGATTTATAGGAAGACAGAAGAGTGAGTGCATCTACCCGATTGCGAGCAGTTTACGATACTGTTATGGACTCCAAAATTGATGGTTAGCACTTATCTGCATGCCTCTATCCAGGAAAGGGGAGTGTACTTATAAAAAATAAGTGAATAAGCATAATATAAATAAGGAGATAGAGTTCACTTATAAATACATTCAAGAAAGAGTTGTTTTTGTTTCATTTTTCTGAGAAATGTAATAGAAGATTACAATAAGATTGTCATTAACTGCTATTATGACCCATGTTTGATGCTATCTCAAGCCATTAAGTTGTACTATTTTCAGGACCTTAACCAAAGGAGTCTTGATGAATCGACCTATATCAATTTTTGACAGCTTCTGTTGATACATTAACACGATCTCGTAAAATGGCCTCTACTCCACTTTTCACAATCCCAGTCACAACATCATGGAATGATGCATGATTTAAAGATTGGTATAACAAAATAATTTTCTTTGAAGTTGTTTTGTGAAATTTTTATTATTAACTCATCTACTTAGTACACATTCGTGTACTTGGCTTTGGGTCTAACTGTAAATGTGTAGGATAGTGATACTACTCGATTAACCAAACACTAAGTTACATGAAGTGGGGTCCAACTTAGCGATTACTTTAATGTGTATTCTAACACATAAGTGATATATTTACCCTCAACCTTCACTTCCTTATATATTGTTAGAAAATACAATAAATTCAAATGATTTCCATGTCTTTCTTTGTATGTTCTCCCAGATTAGTTTGAAAATCCCGTTATGTGCTAGTTTTGTTGTACAGTTCTTTTGCCTACGGAAATGTTCTCGCATTGTTTTAAAATACTTAACATTAACTGTTATCTAACACTTTCCTACTAAACCTGGTCCAACATTGTAGTTGACTGACTGGCTGAAGCCTGGTACTATACGTCAAAATCCTTGATGATATTTTTCTTAACCATGCATAGTAGATCGATTGTTTTTCTGTATCTACAAGTTACCTTTGTTTTTCATATTTATTTATGTTTATATATGTATATACTGTGCCTTATTTCACTGCACACAACGACGTTACACCCAATGTTTATCTTCTTGATGTAATTGATATTCTATAGTAATATTGAAACTTGGTGAGCATAATGACGAAGAGTATCACTTTTCCCTGCCTACGGTGTACGCTAGATCAATTTTAACAGTACCTTGGGTTGAATTCGGTGATAAAGTCTCTGTCACATGCCCTCAAACTGGCTATTCAGCTGTTATCACATTTTTAACTAAGGTAAGATGGCTATGCAAGTCAGCTGGTGTTTTTTTTTGTTTGTTTGTAAACAATCGATACACTTATTTTGTTTATGAAAATTTGTTTACAACTTGTGAAACGTAAATTTTGTTTACTTTGCAACGTTCGTATGTCTCACTATGGACAGTATAATAACAACGAAACCAATAATAATAATGATGATAAAACCGGCTCCAATCAGTACTGTTTGTTTGGTTACAGTAAGCCATTATCAGCACATATACGAAATTAAAACAAACTTTCCGTCTGATGAGCATTCAACCTGTAAATATCTGAAAAGTATATCTAGAAAGTTTTTAAACAAAGATTAGCTGTCATTCATATTCATCTGCAAGTGTCATTGATCAGTCTTTCTGCTTTTATGACATCTTTTTCCATCACTGAATATATTTGGTGTATGAATTCTGTAGAAATCGCCTCTCGTTTTGCCAAACGACAGAGCAGGGAAATACACGAACCATCGCGGAGGTGCTGCTTGAGTTTCTTAGTAATTAGATTTACAATAGGCTGTAAGCATCTTGTAAAAGTGCCAAAGTTTACATGGTTTATAGAAAAACTTATGGTGATAAATCGATGTTTGGAACTGGTGTTCCAGAAGTTTAAGCAAACCGCCATGTGTTTGTAGACTGAATTTCGACTCACTGGTTCAGTGTTTTCGTGTCCATCACAAGATATGAATGTTCTTGGTTTGATCTCATGCGCCTGGCTTTATGGATGAGCAAAACTCGAGTGTTGTGGAAATAAGTTTAAGCAGTCATCCAGTTCTCCATAGTTTACGATGGTTTTTCAGTCCCAAACCTGGAAGGACTGAACAATTAAATGACATGAATCTAACATCTTTTACGCGGTAAATTGCACCAACTACGACAACCATTACAGTAGTTAAAGCATTTTCCCTAAGTATTTACACATTGATGAATATGAATTATCAATTAAACGATAAGACATGTCGTTGCGTTTACGAAACTTCAGAAGTAAAGTCTACTAGAACAACGTCGAGCATCATTGAAAGTGACTAAGTGTTTGAAAATACTTTTCAGAGAGAAGAAATGAATTTAACAAATAAAAAATACCGAATAATACTGAAGAAAAATATAGAGAACACAGGGAAGATAATGTTCTTTGCAACGATTTCATTAACTGAAACTGTACATTTGTATTTATAGTCAATTCGTTTGCTAAAAAAATAGTCTATAGTAACAAAGAATGGTGTTGAATAATTAGGGGAAAATTGGAACGGTATCGTGTCACGTAAATTGTCTACAAAAGTCAGGTATTGAAACGACGTTTTGTAGTAATCTAACAGTTAATAAAAAATGTCAATATGAAGATAATTGTTCACTTGATAAATATTGAAAACAGAACCACTAAAAGTGGTAATAATGATTAATAATTAAAAGCTTTAATAATTGAATTCATGAGTTGATTTAAGCTAGATGACCATTGAAAACCTGGAGGCACTGGATGGTCGTTTCGTCCTAGTATGGGACTCCTCAGTAGCTCAAATCAATTAGTGAATTAAACTAACAAAATGACTACAATCTCCACAAACCCCCATTCTGATGATAATTAATAGTTGTGCAGAATAATTGGGAAGGATTGAGAAAAAAGCCAATAGATAATGAAAGATAAAAAAAGATGGTATGATGAATTGAACACTCTATAGTTTATACATAAAGGTCAGGTTCGAATTGGTGATTAGCTATAATTATAATCAATTCAAACCATTATTAGAATTTTAAATTAATCTGTTCTCAATTTCTTTTATTAGGTGGATAATTATCTTAACATTGGTATTCTTCATTATTCGCTTAGGCTATTATATAGTTTCTTTTCAATATCTGACACCATTTTATTAATAAAGACTACTATTTTTAGCAAATAAATACAATTGTACAGCTTGAGCTAATGAAATCTTCAAAAAGTTAAACGTTTCGTCAATAAATTATCTCTGTTCTTCTTCAATGACAGAATAGATCTTTTATTGTTATTTGAAAATAATATTGAAGCTGAAAACTTAGCAGAAAATAAAGAGTGAATGGATCTTCTCTATTGCTATGAATGATTTTGTAGTATATTCACACATCTGTTCTGTGGAATATAGTATGGTAATAAAAGTATAGTATTTTCTAATTAAAATTAAGCCTATTAATGAAACCTTAGTTCTTAGTTAGCACTGATTCATTTTTGTATACTATTATTTTGATAAACAATAGCCACATTATGAAGATAAATTACATTGTATCACTGGAGAAATTTACAATACACACAGTATTTCTCCAACTTCATCTGATCGTTCAGCCAAAGGGCCTGGGTCATCACCATTAAGTTCAGTTAGAAATAGCAATCATTTAATTGCACGTATTTCTGGTGAATGGAATAATATTATCAATTTTGAAGTTTTTAATAAGGTAAAATTAAAGTTAGTGGTTTCTAACGCTTTTTTGCTTGATTGTTTATTATCATTATTATCGCTTACTTTCTACACTCAACTAACCTAACTCTACGAAGAAAGCAAACAAAGAATATGTAAGAAATTGAAGCCGAATGAGCTGCTTACATTTGACGTGATTTTTTTATAACTGGTCAAACCGACACTTACAAGAACATGTTTGCAGTGATCTCGACTGGGTGAATAATTCACTAACTATGGTTCCTCCATACATGCATATCACCTACCATGTATAACTGCGTCTTTGTGTGATCTATTCAGTTCCACTCTATCTGTTAATTCAGAGACGTACAAGGACCGTATATATTTATAATATATGATATATTACTTTAGAGGGTTATATCATTTTAATTTTCTAATCGAATCCTGTTTTAAGCGAAGCAAGTAATACTACTAATGATTAGTACAATGAGTTTACGATTCATCAGCGTGAAATACATTTTGCTACGTAATATATTTACAAATTATTTAATTGAACAGTATAACTGTTCTAATGATTTCTATCATGAGAATACCCTGGTACGGCCGAGAGTGGGGAGAGTCATCTCCCCTTCTGGAAATGCTCTCACATGGCCACGTGCATACAACCAGTGTCAGGGAAGTCCTACTCACTGCTTTCTCGTGGTGCGGGTGCTGTTTACAAAACTGAGAGAACGAAAAGTGAATGTCCGGCGCTTTAACCAGATCAGTGGACACGGAGAGTCCACCTAGGGTAGTTGGAAAACTCTGATTCCAAACCAATGTTGTACATGGGTTTCAGGATCCTAAGAAAATCAATGGCGTATGAACCTATTGTTGGTCACTGGCTACCATGGGATTGAATCTCCTCACGTTGCTTCACTGTCTTGTGGGTCAGACCTTTACGTCGAAGGCTCATGGGGTGGCCCCCGCTAAGAGAATCACCTGCTTCGGTTTGGGCACCCAGGCAGTATGTCGACCCTCACATAAACAGAATGATTTATGTGACGCATATGTATTTGGTGCTTGTACCAATGTTTATGTGTTTAAATAAAAAAGTTATTTCTAGCTACAAAATATGGAATATTCCACATCATTTATTCATGACAAACATCTTCATTCAACTAGAACAATGGTAGATTAATGTTTTAATCACAAAAAAGATCATTTAAATAATTCTATTTGAAAATTGCTTATAAATTAGGTCATTTGCTAAGTTTATTCTAGTGTGTGTGTGTGTGTGTGTGTGTGTGTTTTGTTCTAACATTTTAATCATGTCCGTTTTCCTTTAAACAGTAAAAATTGTTTAGTGTAACTATAATTTTTATTTTCACAATATTTTTTCTTTTTTTTTTAAAAAAAAAAACTGTTTACTTCTACTACTGAATTTACTACTGAATTGTTTATCTTTTCTTTTTAGAATTTAAATAAATGGTCAGTGAATGTCAATCAATTGCCTGTTTTCTCAAAACATATACGTCCTATTGAATATCAACAACCAGAAGAATCTCGTCGTTTATGGCAAAATGTTACTAAAGCTTTACAATTAAAAAATTTTAATTTGGCTACAGAGAAAAAACAAGAAGTATGTTTAGTTATTGTTTAGTCTTTAATTCTATGCTCAATTCATTGTCTAGTCTCTTTTTTTTTAATTACTTTAAACCAACTAATATGCATTAATGTTTCTACGTCATCTAATTTATACAGTCAATTAATTTCTGTAATAATATTAGCCTGAGACAAATAGTATCAATGTTAGTGGATAACAGTTGCATAATTTTGCAAATCATCTAATATTAGTATTGTAATTTGTTGGATACCAACTCAGTGATCTAAAGGATAAGCGCTTTATGCTAGACCTGAAGATCATTAGTTGTATTGTTCACGAGCTCATATTTTTGCACTTTCAAATTGTCCCATATGTGAACGAAACAGTTGTTTAGAGCTTATTAAATCTCAAGAGTTGTCTAACGAAACTCAATCTATGATATAAAACTTCAAACAGTTATTAAGCTAGCGGAAACGCTACTATGTTTAATTTTAAAAGTTATTCAATACCCATGATATATGTTAAATTTATCTTAAATAACTGAATTCGTTGTATTTCTATCTAACAGATTATCTATAAAGAGTAGTAAAATCATATGATTGAATTTATAGTAAAAAGTTTAGTTTGCATCATTTCGTATAATTCTATTTTATTGTTTCTGTTGCTATAAATAAATTACCACCCTCGTATTTTTCAAATGATTTCCTTGTGTGATGTTACGAATCATAATTGATCATCATATTTGTTTATAACTAAATAAGGGATTGATTGTTTTCGTACTTGATAATAAATCCCATTTGATCAAACAAATACTGAGCAAATAATTATTTTTACTTTATTAAGTCGTTGATGGTGGTCTGCAAAGAAACCCTTAGACCTAAGTCTCGTACTAGTAGAAATAATGTAAGTTGAAAACTGGAGCGTTTAACAAAATAAGAAATGATATAATCGATAAATTAAAATTATTCTCTCCTTTTCACTATAGTTTATTATACTCAGTCAGTCAGTCGTCTACAGTGTAGAACCAGGCACATATATGCATCAAGCCAAGTTGTCATACCTCATTAGCACAACAAGATGAACACCAAATTCATAGAAGTAGTTACTTCAATGGTAGTAAAAAAAGATTTTATTTAGGGATGTGCTTTAGGGAGAAAAAAAGGTATAAAGTAATTTTTATCTCACCGTTTAGGGGAAGACGAAGAGTCTATACACCTACGCGATTGGGATCGATTCTGAGTCATGTCACCCAGAGTCTCCAACCATTGGTTAGGATATTCGCACGGACTCCAACCAAGTAGTATGCATCTATCAGTATGGCTCAGATCAGTGTTTAGTGGCTTCAAGGACTGATGCCACGTTTTGGTTTGGCCACCCCTATCTTTCTTCGATCCTTCCCCAACACTAGTCAGCATTGCACTTCGTGGTAATTGGTGTTCGGGCATACGCAACACGTGACCCAAACATCTCAGTCGATGAAGATTCACAACCTCATCAACTGATTTACCATCATTCCCTAATACCCTGCGTCTAGCCTCACTATTACTTACCCGGTGATCCCAGCAGATGCTAGGAATATTTCTAAGGCATTTGCGATCAAATACTAGTAGCTTACGTTTATCTTCTACTCTTAATGGCCACGTTTCGCAGCCGTAAAGTAGAACAGAACGAACTGCCGCACGGTATACTCGTCCCTTAATTGATAGACGGATATCTCGCCTTCGCCATAGGTGACGTAAGTTGGCAAAAGCCAAATGAGCTTTTTGAATCCGTGCTGAGATTTCGTCAAACACCAACCCTTTAGGGCTGATCAGACTTCCAAGATAAGTGAAGGTGTCAACGCGTTCGACTATTTCACTCCCTATCCTTAGTTCAGGTGTTGATGTAAACCAGTCCTGAAGAAGCAATTCGCATTTAGAGGGGTAGAAGTGTATCCCATACATCCTGAAGTTGTTGCTTAGTGCTACCAAAAGACTGCATTTTATCATTGTTTTCATCAAACAGGACTATGTCATCTGCGTCAATTAGTAAACTTCCTGGTAGTAGATCGATTATCGAAAACTCAATGTTTTTGACTATAATACCATTAGTAAGAATAATGATCAGTAATATGCTACCGCTAGTCTAGATATTTGTTTGACATATTGTTCAGTGACTAGATCACGTTATAACAGATGCACGATTGACGAACTAGAGTTTAGACCAGACAATACTTTATTCCACACAATTACAAGCAATTCCAGTCTTACTAACAATGATATAAATGTTTGATTTATTATATCATCATAGTTCATAGTCAATGAATTCACACAATCAGTCTATTCTGTTGTTGTTTTTTTTATTATTTTGGATACATCACTCTCTAGCTTGAAGAACGACAACGTTTAAGTGAGAGCTATCGAGCATTGTATAAATTCGCTTTCCCAGTCAAATACTTCACATGGTATGAAAACTCTTGGATATTGAAAACCACTTGTAATCAATAATTTACATGGAAATAATACTAGAAAGTATTTTGCCAATATATATATACATTACTTTGTATTTCGTACCTTGATTGTTAATTATTTTTTGTTTCCCTCTTTTTCTATGTTCTGTTTCTTTTTTTTGTGTATTTACTACTGATTTCTTTTTATCCATCCATCTAAAATATGTACACTTATTTTGATAATGAGCATCATAAGATAACTTACACCCTGTTGAATTATTCATTTAACCGTGTTCCAGTTTAGCAGCATTAATAGAGAGGATCCTTTAAATAATGCGAAATAACAATAGCAAAATTGGTCATTAATTCAACGGTTGTTAAATATTAAAATAGATATTAGAATCCGATATTATAGAGTGCAAATGGTGTTATCTGGAAGAAAAGTACTCGAAATGATAATTTAAATTCGTGGTTTGCATACTACACATTTATTGATCAGGTCAATAACGATAAACTGTGTTGATTAGTTCACTAGATCTTGTTGCAACGGTTAAATGGTAAGAGTTCCAGCCCCCAAATGCCCTGGTACGGTCGAGAGTGTGGAGAGTCAACTCTTCCTCTCGAAATGCTCTCACATAGCCACGTGCATGCAACCACTGTCAGGGAAGTCCTACTCATTGCCTTCTCGCGGCTGGGGTGTTTTTTATGAAATTGAGAGGATGAAGAGCGAATGTCCGGCGTTTTAACCAGATTGTTGGACATATTTGATGCCTTCTTGCACCTATGTTTATTAGTTTGAATAAACAAATAAAGAGTTCCAGAGGAGCTTTTAGGTGACAATCATTCCGTAAGTATTATGTAAACTAGTCATGTCTTTCAAATTTATCCCTTCGTAGGTCTAGTAATGGGGGGGGGTCAGTCACTAATATTTTATCAATCATGGTAATACTCAAATCCCAATCACATGTAGGTATTGATCTCTATTTCGTTATTCGATAATGTGTAGATTTCATCTTCTCGATTCGAGTACGATTTATTTCAGTTCAGCACCATAAACTCAACAATTGTTCGTATTAATAGTGATTAAATTAGTCATTTTATTTAGTTAATAAATCCCATATACCAACTATCTAAGATTCATAGTTTGTTAAAACAACATCCGTAATGTGTATGATTCGTTTTACTGCAATCTGGAAAGCAGTAATTATCACGAAATTGTATTCACGGTTAGCGTTTTTTGATACTTTTTTCAATAACCAAAGAAAGTCACACATAATACATCCAAATTGGTGAAAATTAAATAGTCTCTGTAAGACAGTTGATTAGTTTTCAAAATCTTGAAGTAATTCCTAACTTACATCTTTTCATGATATACACGTCCTTTTAACTTATCATACACATTAACCGCAATTGTGTAGTACCTGAACCATATCAGATATCCTGTTCTCAACAACCAAACTAATGTTTTCTTTGCGTCCATTTTCCATCATCTCGAAATCTTACAACAATTAAGATACTGATGAAATAGACAAGTTGTTCAGTGTTAATATTGAGTACAATGAGGTTCCATCCCACTAATTAGTAATGACACTTGACCAGTTCAATATTTTTGACTTAAATTTATATTTGTTTACCTCGTAATCTAAGTTTTCATAATAGAAGAAGTAAGATTCACACATTATCTACGTAATTACATCACTATAATATAAATTTGGTGAAATAATATATCTAATTTATGGAAGAAAACTATGGACAAAATTAAAAACCAAGGATCTGGTTTTATTATGATAAAGAGAGATGAAGTTATATTTGACTGCTGCCTACTAGTTGGCGTCTGTTACATGATACTTCTCTAAACTTTGGTAGTTTTATCGGCACTTCGGTTCTGACTATACTGTTTGTAAAGATTATTATTATTATTAGCTTTATTCAATATTATATTTTTGGTACAATATAAACTTATCACAAATTATTTCAACAAGTTTCCGTTTCATATTTCTTGGTCGATCCTGATAATAAATAATGAGTCTTCGCCAGTAAGAAGTTGGCAGTTCAGGAATCGACATCTGAATAATGTACATTCTTCTCAATGTATATTGCCAGCGACCACAATATCTCGGATTTAGCTCATTCCTAACTTGTACAGCGAAAGGTCGTGAACTTTTCACAAACGCACTTGAATAGGTTATGCAATTAATTGATATAATGATTTGTTGAAACAAACAAAAGAGAGATGACTGGTTGAAATATCTAGATGGCAGGAACAGGTAGTCCGGATATTTAAGCATGTCGCCTATTTTATAAATGATGTGATTAAACAGTCAAAACTACTTCCTAATCAGTAATATTTCAAATTAACTGCAATGAATAAATACATATACTTATTTGTACTATCACTTTTCCAAATATAAACGAAAATTCAGATTAGGTGGAATGTAGCTAGCAATGGAATTCGTGGCGCACGTTTCGTCCTCTTCGAGAATCGTCAGTTGAGTACCTAAATCGTACCAAAACTGTTCACTCTCCAAAACTAACTAAGTACCTCCCACTTCAAAAACAACGCGTTACTCATTTAGATACCGAATTCCAGTAGATTCTCATTTATGTGACGTGTATAAATTTTTAATTAAATTTGGATTTTTCACTATTGATATTTTTAGTATAATTTGATCGATTATCCACTTTTCATCTATTCTACAAAAATTAGTGTCAAAATGACTATAACGAGGCAATCCTCATATATTTAAACTCCATAGCTTGACTAAGGGTCAGTCATTCAGTCAGTAACAACGTAGAACTTCGTACGTACGTACATCAGTTCGAGTTGCCACACCACATTAGCACAGAGATGCACTTGTCGATTCAAATCCCGTAGTGGTAGAGGTAATAAGAGCATAAGCAGTAATCGGGAAGATTAGGGTTTGGAGATGTTATTTAAAGAGTATAATCCAGTGAAATAAATTTGGAAAGAGGAAAAAAGGGACATGAAGAATTCAGGAGATTAGAATTTGGGAGAACACAGAGAGTGGATGCACCTGCGCCATTGCAAACGATTTTGAGCCATGTCATTCAGGTTCTCTAACCATCGGTTGCTATCATCTCGCGGTCCCCAACCAGGTAGTCTACACCTACCAACATGACCTCATGGACTTGTGCCATGTTTTGATTTGGCCGCCTCTAGCTTTCTTCCAACCTACTCCTATACCAGTGAACATAGCACGTCGAGGTAGTCGGTCGTTGGGCATACGTAACACGTGTCCCAGCCATCTCAACTGATGAAGTTTCACCACTTCATCAATCGACTTGCCATCCTTACCTAGTACCCGTTTCCTAACAACTGCGTTACTTACTCGATGGTCCCATGATATACGAGCAATGTTTCGAAGACACCTATGATCGAATACTAGTAGCCTACGAATATCCTCTACTCTTACCGGCCATGTTTCACTGCCATAAAGTAGGACGGAACGAACTGCTGCGCAGTAAACACGTCCTTTGGTTAATAGACGGATATCACGCCTACGCCATAAATGACGCAGGTTGGTAAAAGCTAGTCGAGCCTTCTGTATCCGTGCTGAGATTTCGTCACACACCCGACCACAAGGGCTGATGAGACTATCAAGATAAGTGAAGCGATCGACACGCTCAATTACTTCACTCCCTATCATTATTTCCGGTGTCAATGCAACCCAATCCTGAAGCAACATTTTGCATTTCGAGGGAGAGAATCGCATCCCGAACATGCTTGCATTGTTGCTTAGAGTGATCAGAAGACTCTGCATTTTGTCAGCGTCTTCACCAAATAAAACTATGTCATCAACATATTCTAAGTCAACAAGTGAACCTCCCGGTAGAAGTTCAATCCCTGGAAATCTAGATGAAGAGAGTATTATCTCTAAAAGTACGTCAATGACAAAATTGAAGAATGGGGAGAGTGGACAGCCCTGACGAACACCAACCCAATCCTGAAGCAACATTTTGCATTTCGAGGGGAAGAATCGCATCCCGAACATGCTTGCATTGTTGCTTAGAGTGGTCAGAAGACTCTTCATTTTGTCAGCGTCTTCACCACTTGACTAAGGGTGATCTTTTTAAAAAAAGGCTTAGTTTCTTTTACGTCCTTTATCTGTCTACCCACTTTTGTGCAGAGAATAACTTGTTTAGTCTGGACTAAGACCTTGACGCGTTAGGTTGACTGGCTTAACCTTGAGGCTTGTATGCATTAGTTCGAAGTGGAACCAACTGCTTGTGATAAAGAAACTATTCTACCGCCTGATTGGCTGACAAGCATGCACGTGAGAGAAGAAAAGTCAACTGGAACACCACTCGATCTATTTCCAATTCCGATCTGGTTCCCGATTTCAGATTCGTGTACAAAGATACATAAATAAGCAGATGACTAACCTGACCACAACGCGCACACCAATTAAAAAATACAATTATGTCCAAAACTGGTGATTAGCGTAGAAAATAAAGTACAGAATATTACGTTTAAATTAGAAAAGACTATGACAATGAATCACATATCAAACGAAAGCTTATGATCTGTAGAATAGACTAGGGACAAAAATAAATGTCTGTTTTGTGTTGGTACCATGCGTGGCCTCCCCATTCTGATCCAATATTTTCGTGAGAGAATTGTTACATCAAACGCAGTGTCTATTTGCAATCTAAGCGGATGCCCATTAATATTAAGGGTGATAAATTTCCTCTCACTTGGGATTGAGTTCTGATAGCTAGCTATTAGACTCAACGAATTCGTGTTGGATCTAGGCGTAGGTTTTCTGGTACCTCTGGAGCTGCTTGGCTTCTTTTTTGGACAAAAACCATCCAGGCAGAGTTCGGTGTTTTACAAGCTATGAATTAAATGAAATAACTTCCTGAAAAATAACTTTCATATCTTGTCAAAGCTTCTTATTTTTCTGTTCACATCAGATTTCAATTATACTTATTACTAATAGAATAATAATAAATCAATATTATACAATTCAAAAAAAGATACATTTATTGATTTATTTGAAATCAGTCAATAATCAATTAAATATATTCAATTAATCTATTCATTCAAATAATTAAAATATTAAAAGATCTAATGAATACAATAGATAGTTTAATAGAAAAATTTTATTGGAACTCAATCTGTAAAACAATATGGAAAGAGAATACAGATCAATTGGATGAAATTATTGATTGGATCCATTCAGAAGCGGTTGTATTGAATGCAATTATACATAGTAATAATAATAATCTTAAAATACCATCATATGAGAAAATGATAAAAGTTATTAATTTTCTTAAAGAAAATAATTTTTGGCGTTCTCATCCATATTCACTGATTATTATTAATAATAGAAATAATAATAATGATGATAAAACTGTTGTTAAGCCAAATCATCAATTATATATGAAAAATATTAAAGATTTATGGGAAAATAATAAAAGAATTCAATAATGAATATGAAAAATAGTACAGTAATTAAATTGATATGATGAATAAAACTATTGAGAATAGAAAGATGGCCAAAATAATGTAAGTGTGTATATTACTTGCTTACTTACGCCTGTTACTTCTAATAGAGCATAGGCCGCCGACTAGCATTCACCAATTCACTCTGTCCTGGGCCTTAAATGTGTATATTGATGATTAGATAATTAAGTGTACTTTGTTTTTGTTTGGAATATTCCCATTTGATTTGTTATTTATGTAAATGATAATAATAATAGAACTTTTAAGTGTATTGAATCTTTCTTACATTGACTCAATTTCTTTTCTTTAGATATAAGCTTTGATTATATATATATATATATATGACATAGTCCTGTTTGGTGAAAACAATGATAAAATGCAGTCTTTTGGTAGCACTGAGCAACAACTTCAGGATGTATGGGATACACTTCTGCCCCTCTAAATGCGAATTGCTTCTTCAGGACTGGTTTACATCAACACCTGAACTAAGGATAGGGAGTGAAATAGTCGAACGCGTTGACACCTTCACTTATCTTGGAAGTCTGATCAGCCCTAAAGGGTTGGTGTTTGACGAAATCTCAGCACGGATTCAAAAAGCTCATTTGGCTTTTGCCAACTTACGTCACCTATGGCGAAGGCGAGATATCCGTCTATCAATTAAGGGACGAGTATACCGTGCGGCAGTTCGTTCTGTTCTACTTTACGGCTGCGAAACGTGGCCATTAAGAGTAGAAGATAAACGTAAGCTACTAGTATTTGATCGCAAATGCCTTAGAAATATTCCTAGCATCTGCTGGGATCACCGGGTAAGTAATAGTGAGGCTAGACGCAGGGTATTAGGGAATGATGGTAAATCAGTTGATGAGGTTGTGAATCTTCATCGACTGAGATGGTTGGGTCACGTGTTGCGTATGCCCGAACACCAATTACCACGACGTGCAATGCTAACCGGGGTAGGGGATGGTTGGAAGAATGTTAGGGGCGGCCAAACCAAAACGTGGCATCAGTGCTCGAAGTCACCAACTTGTAGTCTGAGCCATGTTGGTAGATGCAGACTACTTGGTTGGGGTCCGCGTGACTTTCGTAACCAATGGTTGGAGACTCTTGGTGACATGGCCCAGAATCGATCACAATGGCGTCGGTGTATAAACTCCCTGTCTTCCCTTAAACTAAAAGATTAAAATCACTTCATTCTTTCTGTCTACGAACTAATTCTTTCTTCCTATACTATATCCTTATTGCAACCTTTGACCTAACCACTCCTATGAATCCGCTGTTCATCTTGCTGTGCTAATGAGGTATGGCAACCTGGACCGATGCACATATGTGCCTGGTCCTACGTTGTAGCTGACTGACTGACTGCCGAGGAGTCCCATACTAGGACGAAACGGCCGTCCAGTGCTTCTAGGTTTTCCATAGTGATCTAGCTTCAATTGACTCATGATTTCAACAAGTAAAATTAGTTTTTCGTCATGAATAGAAATTTTTTATCGTTCGATTCATTCCTTTTTTCATCAATTTCATATAGAATTTTGATAGAGGAGTTTTATTCTTTGAGCTGGATGATTTGATTGTGAGACGATAAAAACTCCATCTGAGTTATAAATCTTCTTCATCATCATCTTATATAGAATTCCATGAAATTAGAATAAAATCATGGATAGTGGGCATTTTTTTTCCTTTTATATTTTTTTCATGACTTCTACTCTATTTATTATAGTAGTAAGGTATGGTTTATTACAAGTAACTGCAATTGTAATGTGAGCTACTTATATTTACGTAAGTAGTGTATAATGATAGTTAGGAATAGAATGTATGTCAGTAGACGATTGAGAAGGAAAGAATAGGAACGGTAAGCAATTGATATGAAAATGCAGGAACCATGAAATCTGAGACGATAGACTGATATTTGCAAAAGAAACAGTCAAGTTTGAGACAATGAATTGATATTTTGCAAATTAACTCTTTACTATATGGTTCTTAGATTTAATTAAGATATTCTGTAGTGTTTTGTTGAATTAGATTCGATTGTCCCCACTGGTGTACTCGTTCACTACACTATTTCATGTCTATGTTTAAATAAATTTACGTCTTTTAACTGAAGTATATAACTTTTTTCATAAACTATCAAATGGATAAAATTATATAAAGAAGCTTAAACTGAGAGATTACAATTATATCTTTTTCGAATTTGTTATGTTTGAAGCGATTACGAGTTCACCTAGTCTGCAGATGGAACAAAGACTCCGTGACTAAAGACCAATAAGCTAGCTATTCTGATTCGTCCCAGCCCCGCTAACTAGAAAGAAAAGTCCACGTTCGAAACGGGGAAATATATTCCGCAAGCAACCTGAAGCACGAGGAAACATGATATGCACAAGTCAAACGTATATATACAGCATAAAATTGTCCTTGGGAAGCGTTACAAACTAGCATTTAAGTACCTCTTAAGTGGGAAATACGATAGGAGGGTGAAAATGAACGCTTTTGGCGCGAAAACAAGAAAATTCACAATTTTAAAATAAAATTACAAAAATAAGGTATTTACCAAGTGAGTTCTGGGGATCTAACATCTTCAACAAAATTAGTTGTCGTTATTGGGAATAAACTTTACACAAAAGTATAATTAATTCATTGAACAGGATTAACAAATATTTCGTGTGTTGGTTGAAGTTAGAAATTAACACCGTTGGATGCTGGCTCAGTGGTCTAGTGGTTAAGTGCTCGCGCGCGAAGCCACTAGGTTCTGGGTTCGAATCTCGCAGGAAACGAGGTCGTGGATGCGCACTGCTGAGGAGTCCCACAATAGGATGAAACGGCCGTCCAGTGCTTCCAGGTTTTCCATGGTGATCTAGCTTCAACTGACTCATGATCTTAACCATCGAAACATTTGTTGATCTATTAAAAACATAAGCTTCGAAAAATCAGTTTATAAATCATTTTTAATAGTATTAACCGAATAGCAGTTCAAAAGTTGTCAAACTATTCAAATTTACAATGACTGTTATACATATAGAAACCTTTATTCTATAAAGTATTGTTTATTCTGATTCAGTTGGTTAAAAAAGATTATCTTAAGCATCGTTTGAAATGAGTTTTTAAAAGTCAATTTTCCCGCGAAAATAACGAAATCGAATTACTATTATTATTATTATTTGGTTAAAACAAAATCATAAAACAGTAGTTATTAAAGTGGAATATCCCGTAAATTATTGAAGTCTACGATTTTTTTTTGTTAAAAAAAAGATTGTATCAACTAATTATATTTTATTGAATAGAATTATTTCACAATATCAGGTGATCATTTGTCCTTATTTGATCTACTTTCCTTTACCTAGCTAACTACTTGATATAGTTACAACTATCATCGTTGATATTAATAAATATTCTTAAGTTTCATGAAATAGTTCATTCCTTGACATGATCACGATCGATTGTTTATTAATTAATTAATGTTTAAATAATATGTGATTTCTGACTTGTCAAACTGTTGGGAAATATTTAATTTTAGAACTAAATGTTATATTAAAATGTAATTATTGTGTGTAGACCACGTTTCAAGCTCAAGTTAGGCATAATGAATAATGGTTTATTGGTGAAACTATCAAGCTTCATTAGAATGAACTAAAATGAAAGTACTAACTGTTATATCCGAGCGAAGATTAAATCATGAGCAACTTCTGAGACATATTAATTGACAAATATTATCTATACATTCTTATGGTGTAACTATTCAATAATTAGATTATGTGTATTTATATTCCTCTTATTATTTTGACCTATAATTTATTATCGTACGATTTTCTGTTCTTAAGCTATGTTGAGTTTGTTGACTACTGCCTCCCACATTCACAGCCACTTTTTGGCTTTATTGTGTACAGTGTTATTTCCTATTTTATGGTGCGTTGCGATCTGTTTGTTTGATATATAAGCCCAGTGTGTGTGAAATAAATGATTCGATTCGCATAGCGGAAGCTGATATTGGTGTTCTGGACTCAAGTGGATGGGCTAGGCGGACATAGGACCAAATAAGACTCTAGGCTGCCCATACCGGTCGAACGTCATTGGTTTTGGGACAGTGCTAAGTTTGTATAAGTCGTATTCTGATTGGTGGATAAATCACGTGATAATTGCCGGACATAAAGTCATAACACTAATGTTGATTCCAGCTAACAAATTTCCGATTAACAGACTTCGTTTCAGTCTCTCCATAACGGTTCTAGTTCCCAAAATGTCTATTGACTGCCTTGATTCTATCGGAAACAATTATCACTATATTATGTTAGGAATATTCCTGCTGATTCTCAAGTGATTATGTATCTTTTATTCTAACTGGGTGTTTTATACCAGTACAGAGCTGGAGTTGCGAAATTTTAGCGGATATAACATGAAAAGATAAGGAAACAGTAAATTTACTTCGGACTTCATGTTGTTACATTTTGTCCGGTTAAATGTCACATGATTTACTTGCTAATCAGAATACGGCTTATACGGTGTTAGCTCTGTGCCAAACCAACGACGTATTGACCGGTATGAGCAGCCTAGCGTCCTTATTGTTCCTTTTTCCTACCTGGCCCTGTCTCTTGAGTCCGGGACACCATTATCAGCTTCCACTATGCGAACCATTTATTTCAAACATACCTAGTTTATATACAAGCCAACTAGGCAACATCATACCATAAAATCGAAAATAACATTTGTACAATATCAAGCTGAAAAGTGGCTGTGATTGTTGGAGACTAATCAATAAATTGAGCATAACTTAAAAATAGTAAATCGTATAATAGTAGTCTATAGGTCAAAATAAAGCTTATGATAAAAGGAATATGAATATACATAATCTAGTTATTGATTAAATTCACTTCGTATTGTTTATTTGAATCTTCTCATTATTTCATACACATAATTCCCTTTATTACTGTTGTAACGTGTGGTTGCACGGTTAGATGCGCAGTGTTTTATTGACCGATTCGGTGACACGAAAAACACGTACGAACGACCTAGGGTTCTGATTGGTCCCGCTTCCCTGTCTAGCCCAGCCAGTTGAGTCCAGAACACAAATCACAGCCTTTGAGATATGAATCATTATATTTCAGACAT